GTATCTGTAGATTACAAGTATAATCCACATTAGTCTAGCTGTCATGGCAACAGGAACTGATTGCATTGTATAAATCGTGTCATAGGTGCCTTTTCACAAACTGGGGCAATTATTACCAAAGAATGTAAATTATATTTCAAAGACAATATGATAATAGGTCTTTGACTGTGCAAACTAATAGTAATATACATGTTTCAAGGACCCCTCCACACTAACCTCGTCTTCATTAACCCAGTCAGTGTAGGACCTTAAAACCCCATTTTATTTTATACCTTGTGTATTAAATCATAAGGTCTGTCATTGAGTCAAGCGAATTAATGAAATTATATTGAGCCATATGTTACTCCCAAAATGACCTAGTTTGTGTCAAAATGACCTAGTTTGTGTGGAGTGGGTGATAAACCCTCTCTCTCTCTCTCACACACAGAAATACAATAGTACTGCCAGTGGTACCCTGGTACTGTTTGTAGGGTTGACTATGTGAGTGCTGACACTGTTTGTAGATGTGTATCGTTGCAGTTCTACATGTATAATAGAAATAGAATAGTAGGATTGACTATCTGAGTACTCACACTGTTGGTAGGTTTATTGATTTTCTACTGATGAGTATCTTGTTAGAATGATGATCAATCACTCTGCAGATTTCCTTTCATTCACCTTAATATAATTATACAGTTGGTCACAGCTGATCTATAGTCTTTATCATATATGGCATGAGGGGTTGGATGGCCGAATGGTTAGCACATGCGCGCTGTATCATAAGGTCTGTCATTGAGTCAATTGGCGTGGTTTCGATTCCCGGTTGTACGTGAAAAGGAGTAGGGATCCCCTGTCCAACCTTGTGGGTTTCCTTCAGTTTGCTACCGCTGCTAAAGACCCCTATGCGCAAACAATTTATTGAAATAAATGGATGATCTCTCTCTCTCTCACATGGCATGATTGACATGACTGATCTATAGTCTCTATTAATTACTAAAAGTATTATACAGGTTATGATCATGGATGATCTATAGTCTCTGTCATGCAGACTATGATGTATAGTCTCAATCATACAGGGCACGATGATCACAGCAGATTTGTAGTCTCAATCATACATGACATGGCTGATGTACATGTATATCTATTGTCTCAATCATTACAGGGCATGATGACCATAGCTGATCTGTAGTCTCAATCACACAGGCTTTGATGATCACAGCTAATCTGCAATTCTGGTAGCACACTGTTGCTGTTCTTGGTGTTTAACGTCTGCTTCCACTGAGAGTGATATTGCAGACAATTCTTATTTTTAATGCGCAGGGGTCTTTCCTACCCGGAGTAAATCCATGAGGTTGAGAAGGCACCCCTACATGTATCTCAGAGCATGTCCGTCTTTATTAGCTTGTCACTACTAAAAACTAAATGTCAATAGGATATTTCCAAGACTTAAAAAGAATTTATATATTTATAAACCCCAGTAAGATGTCCGGTGTAGAGATGAAGGGAGTGTGATGTCAGGATTATAAACTAATTAAAATATAATAGTATTCCTCCACGCTTTATGATATACATGTACATGTACATGTAGAAGCCCTCTGGTAGATACATGTAGACCTACCGACCTCCCACAGGATCAGGCCATTCCAAGTTAAACTTTTGTGGTTTGAGAACACTTGTTGATATTTTGCTTATTTCTGGTAAGAAAAAAATAAGTACTTCTTTCCTGTTTGCTCTTCTCAAAAGTGGGAGGGAGGGAAATTTAAATATGCTGAACGTTCATGCAACAATAGTTCAAAAATAGATAATGAAAGCGAAGTTATGATGTTGTGTAGATTGTTCATTAGCTGTTCATTATCGTAGCAACGATACTGGACAAACAAGACTTAAGTCTTGATTATCCATTTTATTGTTAAATTGATTATGGGATTGTCATGTTAATATCTAAATAGTTTATATATAAGATTTGCAGCCAAAATAAAGATCTGCCATAGGCAGATTAAGCTCTTGTATAATGAATCTTTAATTTGGTTTGGCTTATAAAAGGCTTTGTTTAGTTTTTTCATCCTTATTATTATCACATTTATAATGGCTTACATGATCGGCATAATACGAAGAGGTGCGGAGAATAACATGTAGATGATGTTACTAGCTTGTGTGAGGCCAGATTTTAATAATAAACTATTTGTCATCACATTCTTTCGTGCTTGGAAGGAAATGTCAGATACTCTTCATTATTTATTTCACACAGGATAAATATCTGTAATAAAGCTTTTGTAAGATTTTTTATTTCTGGGGAAAACCAAGGAAATTTAAAGATAGAATTTCTTATTCTCAAAAGTCATCTTCGTTAGCCCAGTGGCAAGGTTGGGGTGGCTGAATGGTTTAAAATGTGCGTGTTAAATCATACAGTCTGGTATTGAGTCAAGTGGCATGGTTTAGATTCTCTCCAATTGTGTGTGTCTCTATCTGTTTCATTTCTTCTCAAAAACTTTTAGTTTCACATTTTGGGGGCATATAATGACGTTGGCCTGGCAGTCCAGCGTCCACAAGTTGATATCTGATTGACTTAAATTTTTACACAGTGTTTAAGAAGCCTATCGATTTGCAGCAATTTTTGATAATTATTGCCTGAGTTATGGCCCTTGATCATTTTGAAAATCTTGTGGACGCTCTAGAGGCTAAAGTTAATATCCGATTGACTTTAAATTTATACACAGTGTTTAAGGTCATGAGACAAAGAATCTTATTGATTTTCAACGATTTCCAATAGTTACTAGTACTACCAGAATTATGGCCTCGGATCTCTTTGAAATATCTGGTTGATGCTCTAGAGGCTAAAGTTAATATCCAATAGAATTTAAATATATCCACAGTGTTTTAGGCCATGAGACGCAGAAGCCTATTGATTTTCAACTATTTTCGATAATTAATCCCGGAGTTATAGCCCTTGATCTCTTTGAAAATTTTGTAGAACCTTTTGAGGCTCAAGTTAGTATCTGATTGATTTTAAACTTATACACTGTGTTGAAGGTCAGGAGACAAAGAATCCTATTTATTTTCAATGATTTCCGAAAATTACTGCCAGAGTTAAGGCTGTTGATCATTTTCAAAAATCTTGTGGACGCTCTAGAGGGTAAAGTTGATATAAATTGTTCTTTTTAGGCCATGAGAAAAACAATTGAAACAAATTCTAATGTTTTCTGATAATTACTTCATGGGTTATTACTCCTAATCAGATTTTCATGTGTTGTAAATGTTCTCATTACTGACGAAAGAAAAAATATTCGACAACACTTGTTGCCTGTCCAGACGACTTTGGGTGTATGTTTCATTGCCTGGCAACCTATCTTTAACTTTAGAAATTTTAAAGTCTTGCCTTTTGATTATAATTGCAGAAAGTCGATCGGATAACTTGGAAATCTGATTGTCATGTTGAGACTTAAAAGTTGTAGAGTATGATCCTGTGACAAGGAGATTAATGTAATGAATCTTATCATGTTGTCGTGTGGATGCTGTCATGCTTTATATATTTATCCTTGAAACATGTGTCACCAATACAACACATTTCTTTTAAAAAGTGCAAAAAATATTAATAAGCTGACATTATGCAATAGATGGACGGACAACTGGGAAACAGGGCTCATCCTCTCATTGTTTCAATACCTCACATAGAATTATGAATATAGCTGTTGAAGACTGTCATGTTCACAAGGCTTTCAAAACTCTATCCTCTATCGCCTTCACAAGGCTTTTGGAAAAGGGTGGTAACTTTGGAACAAAATATAATGAATCTTATCATGTTGTGGTCACGCTGTCATTCTTTATTAAATCTTGGAATATGTGTCACCAGTCGGTCAATATATGTCAATTACAACATATTTTCTTCTTTTTTTAAAAAGAAACCGAAAATATATCAACGTTTGATTAATATTGAAAGAATTATACGTATTTTAAGGATATTGTAAAATTTCAACACTTGTGCCCATGCAAATGACATGTAACCCAGGGATATATGTAGATCTCAATGCACCTGGCCATCTGATAGATTAAAGATACATTATGGGAGATTCGGTAACGAGTTGGCAGTTCTCACTATAATACTAATAGTTAAAAACTAGATAATGTAAAGGCAATTTGGTGAAAATTTCATTCAAATTGATCCACTATGAACCGAGAACTAAGTGACTGAAATTCCCATAAGCCTCAGTCATCATTACTAAAGTCAGTAAGATAAACAGCATAGTCTCGATTATCCATTTAATCGTTTAATAGAGAAGGACAGTTATGCAGTAAATCGGCTTACAATCCACTAAAGATCGCAGGCTAGCGCTGCCATCTGGAGTTGATTATGGCCTGGATAGGTTAATTAATGTCTAATTAATAATTTAGATAACATTTCAGGCCTAAAGAAAGACCTGAAATAGGCAGATTTAGCTCTTGCATAATGCATGTTTAAGAAAATTGTTGACATATTTCCATTCAGGATTCAACATTCAATTTATTATTTTCTACCTTTGGTGTCGTTCAACCCACCCACCCAATTCCGTGGGGTTATTCTTTTGGACGGAACTGATGAAATTTTGCAATAGTCCCTTACAGTAATGATCTTTCTTATATATATACATTACATGTACATATGCAAACTCATAGTTATAGTCTAAACTGTATGGACTGTAATTTTGTACTTAATAACATATTATTTTGTGTATAAGGGGACACTCGACCACAGGGGCCTTGACAAGAATATACCAGGTTTGAGTCCCGGCGGGTGACAAGAAGAACCGTTGTGTTTTTTCGTGCCTAGCCGTCACTTGTCTGGGGTGTTGTCTGTGAGACTGAAGTGGAAAGTGTCTAGTCGTTCGAAAAGGTAAAAAAACAGGTGTGTGCCTATAGCATCCTTGATGGTTGGAAATTGAAGAGCAGGCATAGAGTGAGGCCAGGATGAACAGAACATATTTGTCTTTTCTTTCTTTTTTTAAATTGTAAGTGATTTTTTTCATTTTATTTTGTTTTTATTTTAGATTCTAGTAATGAGGTACAAGTTTTTCCATGGCATTGTTTGGTGCCGTTTCTTACGAATACAGGACCGCAGCATGCAGCCCCACCTACGCCCGAACCTACCTATCAAAAACAATCTGTACCACCACCATTACCAGTTCCTCATCCTAATATAAATCATTCACAGAGTGTCAGCGAGGCTCGTATGTATTTTACCTCATTTTTTATTTTCTACCGCTAACCACATCATCGTGTTGAAATGAAATAAAATATGTTTCCCAAAATTTGGACGGTTATAAACAGAATTTAGACTACATGTACGTGTTTTATGAATAGAAATTCACAATTTACTAGATAGTAGAAGCCTTTTAATACTAGTATTATAATTGTTGGGCAGATAGTGCATTCAGCTTTTTTTCCCCAAGTAACTTGATTTTATTCCAAAAAAGTAAGAAATACCATCATTCAGCATTTTCATTATGAAACTTAATTGTCTCGCCACCTAAACATCGTATTAAACAAAACTAGAATTTTTATGTGGTCATATTTGGACATTTGTGAAAATAATTTAGACTATAATATATGAATATTATGAATAGAATGAATAGAATTTGGACTACTATGAATAGAAATTCAGTTAATATGATTTAGACTTACATGTACATGTATGAATAGAATTTGGACAATGAAAAATAAATTGACGATTACATGTTGTACATGTATTAAATTCAGTATCAGGTATTCAGTAACATATTTAAAATTACCCTAGACTGGTCTAGACCAAAGCATTTTATAAGGCCATCTGTAGAACTCTAGAAAAAAAAAATGAAAAACATAACAAAGGATTCTTTAATTGTCTATTTTACAGCTCCAACCAAGGTCTCAAAAAATGATAATATGTAGTAATACCCTTTTATGGTCACATAACTTTCTTCTCCTCCCATGTACTATTCAGTTTAGACACTATCATTTCTTCCTCAGCAGTCCTCCACCCTCGGAAATTTCTACTGGTTCTGTTTGGTTATCAGTATGATGAAGATGATATTGGAAAATTTATTAAAATAGTTGTTGAACGTGATTGAGTTTATTTAGTATATTCAGAAACCCGAGACAAAACAGAACACAAATACATGTTACAAAGTTGATGATAGTCATACACTGTAATGCATGCAGGGCCGTTGCTAGGCAATTTATGTATTGTCTCCCTTTAGTCATTAACAATAAATATAGGCCTACTATACCGGTAGTTTATTTTCATAACGTTTATGTTTGTTTATTCAGTTTTAAAAGATGATGATGATATGGAAGAGGAGGATGATGATGATGTTTTTGAGCCAGTACCTATGGATGCTCCAAAGAAAGCCACTGTACTGCGATCACCTGCCAAGAGAAGAACTCAATCCTTAAGTGCTCTGAAAGATAAAGAGGAACCAAGAAGTCCCAGAAAGGTTTGTTATTGAAATATTACATAGGAACTTGATTGAAAGTTGCTAGAAGCGTATGTAGAGAAGCCTTTCCATTGGCCAGAATTTGCCTCTGGGTGACAAAGCCATGAACCCAGGTGACAAAAGCAAGAAACCTGGGTGACTAAGCTATGAACCAAGTTGACAAAATGGTAAACAAGGTTAAACACTTAATTCTTTATTTTCAGACTAGAGATAAGGATCACATAAGAAGACCAATGAACGCCTTCATGATATTCAGTAAACGTCATCGAGCCTCTGTACACCAAAGACATCCCAATCAAGATAATCGTACAGTGAGTAAGATCCTAGGAGAATGGTGGTACGCACTAGGTCCGAAAGAAAAACAGAAATATCATGAACTGGCTCTCCAGGTGAGGAAATTCATAAAAAAAATTAAATTAAGGCCGCACAAAAAAATATTCTGGTTCTTGAATACCGGTGCGTCATCAATAATCGGTAGTGTCAATTGCATGCAAGCGATTGAGAAGAGAAAACGTATTGTCACATAATGAACAATAAAATATGTTGAAACTAAGCGAAGGCTTCGGTACTGAAATTACAATATGTTAATTATAAAATGTTAAACACAAAGATATTTTTTTTACAAAAGGAACTATTCCTGAGTTCACAAAGCATTCTCAGGCTTAAGATATGAATTTACTCAAAATTATTTGCCTTATTTTGGCTAAAATATAGCCAGCCCTTTATAAAACTTTAATGTATCAATGCTTCAATTAGAAACTATGTGCAAAGTTTTGTGTTTGTGGATAAAGATATTTCTCAGGAACGCTGATTGAAAGTTGAGTAAATTCTTAACTCAAGTCTGAGAATGCTTTGTGAATTCGAGGTTAGGTTGGTGTTGAGTGAACGTTAAACGTCATTTCTCTTTCTGTTTTAAATGTTTCAGGCTTTTTGAATGTATATGAATTGTGACGACGTTACTTAAACTTTACAATTATTCCAGGTTAAAGAAGCTCATTTTAAAGCTCATCCGGAATGGAAATGGTGTTCTAAAGATCGTAAAAGATCAAGTACTATCGCTGCAACACTTAAACAACGGGGAGGTCACCGTCTCAGTTCCTCGGATGATACAGGTGACCTTAGTATCAGTGGTAAATAATCTTATTGATAATCTGATTGGTTCATGGCAAGGGGTGGTCACCTGGTTTAACATATGCACATTGCATCATAAGGTCAAGTGGCGTGGTTTAAATCCCCGCTGGTATGTAACAAACTTGTGGGTTTTCTCTGCGTCCTCTGGTTTTCTGTTACTGCTAGCTGCTTAAGACCCCTGTATGCATTTTTATTATTGAAATATTATTGAACCATATGTTAGTCTCGAGTTGATGTTAAACTCCATTCCTCTCTCTATCCGGGGAAAATTTCCCTCATAGCACACTGTATGATGAAGCCCGTCTGCACAGCCCACTCTGAACAGAATAGTAGGATGTTAAACCCCATTTCACTACCAGCTAATTAGAAAAAGAAACTAATTAAACAATAAAAGAAACAACCAAAGTAAAATCATATAATCTCAAATGAATTGAAAATGCTGGCAGACATTTTGAATTGATACTGGCACTCTATAATATGATTGGATATTTATTCTTTGCTTGAGAAAGACTAAGAGAACCCTCATTGAAACTTCTCCAAAAATAAATATGCAACAAATCTGTATTTCATGAAATTATGTCCTGTTTTATTCTGATTTATTGGCATTATGATTACTGTTTGGCTGACACTGCTGTCCAGGTAAGATTTCACTCATAGCACACTGCATAACATATTCCTGTCTTCACTAGACCCTGTGGGGCCAAACAGTAGAATGACCCTTGACAGCTAGAATTTGAAATAAGAGTACGGCGTAGTGGCATAGTCAGATCAAAATTTAACACTGCATGTATAATATTTAAATCTTTTGTATTTATTACTAGAAGATCCTTTTGATGTTGATCTGCCACCACCCGTGTCGTTACCTCCAGCAGAGTTACCTCCACTTCCTGATCAACACTCGTTAAAACAACGCTCACAGAGTTTTACAGCTCTCACCCATAAAGAGGACTACACTCAAAGATATATACCACGAGAAGGGGCTTTCCCAGAGGTAAGATAAACAAAATAATCTTGATGCGTCATCTTCAATAAATAAATAATTATCTTGTTCAGAAGGGCAACCTGTGTGTAAATTTATAAACTCATCTAAATCCTGATGCTCCATTTTAAGCAATAAGAATTGCATCCAAACTACAATATTGTGAAATATGAATCTCTAATAGGAATATCAGTCCAGTATATACAAAGCAATGTTGAATTGAAATGTTATCGTCATTTTTTCAAAATCCGATTGAATCCAAGTATTGCAAAACCTGAGAACCTGTTAGTATATGTTGCACCTAATCAGTTGCTATTCAACAAAAAGTAGGGTGTTGGGTGGCCGAACAGTTAATGTATTTTTGTTGCATCACAAGGTCTGTCTTTGAGTCAAGTGGTGGGGTTTTGATTCCACACTTGTACGTGACAAGGAGTCTGGTTGCCTTTCCAACCTCCTGGGTTTTCTCAGGGTCTTTCAGTTTCCTCCCACTGCTAAAGACCCCTACGCGCAAGCGAAAAAATGAAATTGAACCAAATATTAGTCCCGAAATGACCTAGTTTGTGTTGAGTGGACGCTAAACCCCATTTCTTTCTCTCTCTCAAAGAAAAGTAGGTGGAAATGCTGTTGTCCAGGCAAAATTTGTATCATAGTACTCTGCCGAGAAGTTGGACTTTATTAGGCTCAGTGGTATTTCATTTTCAATGGTGTTTTATTTGCAAAGACTTTGATAAATAGTTAAATGAAAGTCGTTCGGTGTTTCCATCAGTCACTGGCTTTTAGACTTCCACTTATGCTTCACCTTGACAATATATGTAAATCTATTTCAGGTCCCTGAACAATCCAGCTCATTAATTCTCCCAAGATCTTCAGCACCAGTGGCGTCATCTTTATCAACAACAGTGATGTCAAGTCCATTGCTACAGCAACAACACCATCAACTTCCTTCACAACCAGATCAGTCCCGCACCAGTTACCATAGTTACACTAACAATCCTGTACAGGCCTTACAACAATCGTCACGACAGCTTATAGCATCACGTGGTGATGATGATGACAGCGATGATGAAAAAATGGTGATTTGTGAAGATGGTAAGATACGTTCACATTTCTTTCAGAAAAAAAAACATATAGTTATGGATACTGTGAAATTATAAAAATGGCCTTAGTTGTGTTTGAAAAGATTGGTATATACCCTGTTTCTGAACAATCCATGATGCTAAATTGCAGCTTTACATTCGATATTAGATGTATATTTTATTATTAAATTCATTAAGGCAACCTCTTGCACGCTTGCCGTCATGAAATTTCAGTGTGATTTTCCCTTTTTAGTGTAGAGTGTCTAGTCATTTGGATAGGATGTAAAAAAAATCAAGGCTCTCTGTACACGTTTAAGTACACATTAAAGAGCTCTTGCTAATAAGAATTAGACCAAGAGCAATCTGTCTGCCACCGCACACCTGTTCATTAGCCCAGTTGGAGCACAACAGTAGGACCTTAAACCCCATTTCTTTTTGTTTCATTTGCCCAGTTGGTGCAGAACAGTAGGGTGTTTCATTTCATTTGATTACTCATGTACATCTTTCCCAAATCTGTAATTTATTTTTTTTAGGAAATATTCTCAACACTGACAACAGCCATGATTTATTTTTCATCTTTCATAATTTGTTTTCAGGTGAAGGTGGATTAGATCAAGGTGGAATCGATCTGAACTGTAAGGAACGGGTGTCAGATAGCGAAACGGATAGTCAGACGGAGGAAGACAGTTTGATTGAAAACAAGGCATTCCCTCAACAACGCTTTTCTCCTGTCATGAAACCTTTGACTGCTGCTGATATTGCTTGTCGGCCTAAGCCGATAAAAAGAGCGTGTATCCCCGAGCAGAAGTTAGAAATAGAGGGTCCGACGCACGACCCTGTATCAGGACAGTTGACACCAAGACCTTCAAGCACTGGATCAAGTTTTCAGGTTTTTAAAGCTCGTCCACGTGGCGGGAGAATAATGTCGAGTACTTACGATGGAGGAGAGATCAATACGCAGTATGTACAGAAAGAACGGTCAGACAGCCATTCACATTCCGGGAGTTCACGACTTCCACACACACAGCAACGAATAGAGAAACTAGGTCAGATGAAGATCCATAATATAACCATGACAGCCCCTGATAAGCAGCAGATCTTTCCTTCGTCCAATACGCAAACCATGCTAGGTAAACAAAATGGCAAAGGAGCCATGTTGAGCAAGATGACACAAAAGGCTCCCAAGTCGGCAAAAGTTTCAGCGCAGAGCCAGGCAGCATTTCAGCAGTTCACTTTTCAACAGGCAGTTAAACAACCTGGAGTTCAATTAACGAAAAACGTCACATCGGGATCAGTGCAATTAGTAGCGACTGTAGTATCGTCTGCTGGTCAGACCGGGCAAGTTCTGCCCACATTCACTACCACAAGCAAACCAATCACAACCCCCGTACCTATAGCCTCCAAACCACTCGTTCCGTTAACACAGGCAACCACTACCGCTAGTACCGGATCTCGTCCCGGATCAGTGGGAGCCATAGGAGTTGCATCTCAACCTCTTCTAACGGGCAGTCCTGCAGCGGGAGGAGTAAAGAATGTTGGAACATTAGTTTTACAAAGTGTTCCCAGTAATCAGTATGTTGGTAGTAACTCGAATTCTAATATACAGACCACGCCTACCTCCGCAGCTTTTATCACCATACGTAACATGGCCACACCCCAAACAGCACAGAATCAAATGGGTCAACCCACCTTGCTGACAGTACTAAAACCAAATCAGGCAAATCACAACTTGCACGGGTCAGGAACCCAAACCTTTAACTTGAGTCAACAGCCGACCCACGTTCAGTATATCTTGCCTTCTGTTCAAGTGGCACCCCCTGGTGCCAAAGTAGAGAATGTCTTACAAATGGCGTTGCCCGGTACGACCAACATCTTGGCAGTTCACAGCTCCAATCAACAAGGACAACCGAGTCCTCAACCAATGCAGATGGGAAAGTTTCATATCACACAGCCACAGTCCGCTCAGCTTCGAATGAACAGCATTAATAATCAGGCGAAGATTTTACAAACATCACAGGGCAGCTTGTCTCAAAAATTACAGCCCTCACAACAGATGGTGACTCAACTGTTGACAGTTAGTCCATCACCAGCGGTAGTGGCTACATCCCAGGCCCAGGTGCAGCTCTCCCAAGCCAGGTTCACACAACCAGTATCTTTAGCTGTAGCACCGTCACAGTTTGTACAACAACAGTCCAATCAACCTGTTATCACACAACAGAATCAGCTCCATTCACAGAGGCTCATTTTACCATCTAATCAAAAGTAAGTTTATTGTCTGTATGTACAAATATGTGGAGCTGCAGTGGCTCAACGAATAAGGTGTTGGCTCACTAACCTAGACGTCCCGTGTTTGATCTTGGTGTTGGCCGCGAAAGTTCATCAGAATTTTCCTGCGTGGTTCTTCATGTCAGTGGTGCAGGATGGAGAGTCTGGCAAGGGACAACATTGGCATGTATGCATTGGCGTGCACATATAAGAACCCCCGACAGTTGGAATTTGACATAAGAGTAGACTGTAGCGGTGCCGTCCGAACTTTTTGGTCGGAGTAGGACTTTAGTTAAACCCCATTTCATTGTATTTCAGGATAGCCTATGTACAAGGATCAACTAGTACTATACCTATTGTTACAAGCCAGAATAAATTAGATGGTCTACAGAGTTACTATGTACCAGGTAATTATATTTATATACCAAAGATATATATTCACCAACATTTACTATATCCATACTTAAAGATGAGTTATCTCAATTGTGGTTATAATAGTTCAAAAATAGATCATGAACAAGGAATATATTCAAAATTTCAGTCAAATTACTTTATTCTGAACAAAGTTATAAAAGGCCTATTAAGTTTCTCCACCACCAATAAAAGATGGCGACCTCTTGTTACCCTAGAGCAGTATAGATCAATGAAATTTCAATTTTTCATAGCTTTATAAATACTGGACAGAACTGAACCAATTTTGGACTGATATTTGTATTAGAGATTAAACTTTCACCATATTGTAGTTTACAAGGGATTCCTGAATCCCTAAATTTAATGTTCAAAAGACTTGAACCAAAATCAAATCAATCTTGATCATTCTTAAAGAAATATTTTTCACCTTTTGTGGACCCAATCAAGAAAGGTTTTTGCATATTAAACATATTGATTTTATTTTATAAGGTCCACAAGTGCTAATTCACCCTCAAGTACGATCACCATCTAACGCGGCTAGTCCTGCACCGACGACTGGTATATTACAGACGAGTGGTGGAACAACTATTGGTGTGATGCAAGGTCAAGCCCAGATCATTCAAGCCTCACAGCCTAAATTATCTGTATCGAACAACAGTCCTCCACAATCTCACAGCCCTATGTATTCTCAAGGTAGGTTTATAATAATCTTACAGTCCAGGAGGGGTTGGGTGTCAAATGGTAGATCACAAGGTGTGGTTTCGATTCGCCGCTTGTATGTAACAAGGTGTAGGGTCACCTTTCCAACCTTGTGGGTTTTCTCTGGGTCCTCAAGTTTCTTCCCCACTGCTAAAGATCCCTACACTCAACAATGTGTTAATCCTAAAATGATGATCAAACCCCATTCAAGAAACTCTTAAAAACTGATTTGTTTCAAACAAGTTATAACTGATAGTTAAAGAAATAGACATATTTTAGTATACGAAATTTGCAGGAATGAATGTTTGTGTAAAAGCCAACTATTTTATAACATTAGCTCAATTGGTCTGTAGTCAACATGTTTAACTATTACAGGAAGAATGTCCGTATAAAAGCCAACTATTTTATAACATTAGCTCAATTGGTCTGTAGTCAACATGTTTAACTATTACAGGAAGAATGTCCGTATAAAAGCCAACTATTTTATAACATTAGCTCAATTGGTTTGTAGTCAACATGTTTAACTATTACAGGAATGAATGTTAGCGTAAAAGCCAACTATTTTACTGTGCAATCTGAGGGAAAAGGGGATATCGGATATCACATCAGTACTAGCGCCGACAGTACCAACTTCCAGACCAAACCAAACAGGGTAAAGGCCACTACAGCTAGTATTCCAGTGGCAACAGAAAGTTTACAGAGAGCACCGCCCACTTCAGGTAGGACTATCATTGCTAAATGTAATTTATTGTTTATACGAAAACTACCGTAGCTGTTGACATTCTTAACTTTAGTCTGACACTGTTTTGTGAAACCGGGGCGAGGCCTATTTCACTTGCCCTTGTAACCCAATTTTTTAACCTCAGGGCAGCCCTATTGTAGCCGCTAACCCCAAACGATAGTCAAAAATATGTATATGCTCCTCCCAGACTAAAAATAGAAATTCCTTTGTTAGTTTATGTAAGGACATTTTGTCATTTCTAAGAGAAAGTTTACACACAGCTTGACTTAACATAAGGTACATCTTTAAAAAGTTATAATCATTTACAACATATTATAATCTCATTGTTAGTCAACTCAGGTATAGCTCGGAAAATTAAACAGTTGTAGACCCGACGCTCATATTCAAATCTAGACGGACCATTTTTAACTACGCAACAGTAGAAACCCAATAGTTTTCTATGATTCTCAACGAATTTAAACAGTTTTCCAACAGTTGTTTGAAACTAAACATTAAATACAGAAACAGCACAACTATACAATACCTGTTCGGTTTTGCGTCTGGTGTTGGCCCCAATATTTTTTCATGATTTTCCAATCACTTTCCCCCTTGTCACTGGGGCAGAAGTCCTGTTCTCATTGGCAGCCTTTAAGATATCCCTGGACAGTAGAAAATAAGAAAAAAAAAAAGGGTTAGGCTAAATTTCCCTTTGGCCTGAATGGTGCAGAAATGCAAGACGTTAAATTCCATTTCATTTTTTTTTTTAAACTATATTTTATTCAATAAGAATAGGATTGGGGAACAGGCTAGGCCTATGTCATCCCCCTCCCCATTTCATTTCCCTTTGGCCTGAATGGTGCAGAAATGCAAGACGTTAAATTCCATTTCATTTTTTTTTTTAAACTATATTTTATTCAATAAGAATAGGATTGGGGAACAGGCTAGGCCTATGTCATCCCCCTCCCCATTTCATTTAATTTCTTCATGTAAAAATTTCCCCCACATTTAAAAAAGGAAATTGCTTTTCTTATTATTTAGTAAAGATTTTTCATGTCTAATTTATTGAAAGATTCCCCCCCTACAGATATTAATTCTAATCGAGGAATAATGTGGCTTTCTTACAGCAATCTTTACAACATTTATCTAAAGAGAAGTGATGCTGATTATCACTTTCTGTACAGACATTTTGTCATTTACAATTGATGTAACTAATGATTCCCACTCGTATTTAATTTACAAAATGTCATTCCTTCCTAGATGTAGAAATTCATAATTGATCTTGCGACAAAATTTTCGCCCACTGCCATTTATGGTGAGAAGCTGAATTTCTATAGGATGAAAATTGTGCCATTTGTAATTGGTTCTGTGTGAGAAGAGAGATGTGACTATTTTAGATATTTTTATCCACCTGCAGGCTAGATGAGGCCATGTTGGAATGTAGACCCCTGTGGTTATAGACCTCTTCTTCATCTTTTTTACCATTTATAGTAATTTCCTTATGGCTGGTTGACCTTTAAGATGTCAAGATGAGTAGGATTTCTCGCTGATGAAATACTTTAGACTCTTGTAATTTATAGAAATGGACAGTATTGTTATAAAAGAAAATTGTAGCCTATTATTTCTGATCAACATCAATTTCTGATATTGTTTCGAGTGTGTAATTTATTTATTGTTTAGGAAATTTGCATAGGCTATCAAATTTCTCATGCCTAATTCAAGCTAATAGATACTCAGATTAATTTTTTAACATTTGATTAAGAAAAGGAATTCGAAATACCATCACTAGATAAACACCCAGATTTAAAAAGGGCCCATCAATAGATTTTTGCGGAAATCGGTATGGTGGTGGGGTCATTTACATATTGAAAAGCATGGTTCGATAAAATTTCAAATCCGCCTATCTTTGTAAATACTGAACGGAATTGAACCATTTTTTGACGGATATTCGTATTAAAGGCACATCTTTTGAGATTTTAAATATTTCTTTTAACTAACGGAATATATTAAATTTTCAAGTAATAAGTCTTCTTGTATTTCAGTTTCTAAGCCAGTTTCCATTAATTCTATAAAGTCTGTACCTTCACCGAACCATACGCCAGAAAACACAAAACAGTCTACGTTACCTACCACTACAAGTCAGATACAGCAACGATTGTCAAGACCGCCACAAACTATGACATCGGCCAGTCAGCAGCAAGCATTGTCAGGGAGCATGAGTCAAGGAAGTTTTGACAGCCAGTCCAACGATGGAAGCAAACCTCAGCGTTCGTGTAAAGGGAAGCGTTATCGCGAAGAATTTAAGTCGACCATTCGTGACAGAAAACAGAGTAAACCGGTGACATTTTCAGACATTCCAGAAGAAATTTCCCCGGAACCATATAAAGGGGAACAGGAAGTGAACGTTAGTAGTGAGAGTGATAATATGCGAGGATTACCTTCCTCCATGCCATCTGTATCTCAACAGCAGACGCACTCGAATCAGTCTGTTGAACCTTCACCTTCATCAGAACAAACAGATCAACAATCACAGGTAAGGTTCATGAACAGCTCATATTGGGTGTGAATGGAAGGCTGAATGGTTTAACGTGTGCACTTTAGATCATAAGGTCTGTTATTGAGTTAAGTAGTATGATTACGATTCTTCACTTCTATCTCGGTGTTGGTCGAAAGAGAAATTTCCTCAGGATTTTCTAGCGTGGTTTCCACTCCTCGGTGTCGCAGGATAGAGGGCCTGTCAGGTGAAAGTGTCTAGTCATTAATATGGGAAGAAAAAACCAACATCCAAACACGTTGTCGTTGATGTGCACATTTAAGAACCATGACAGTTGGAATGATTATTTTCAACAGCCATTTCCTCATCGACGGGGCATCTTATGCACAAGGTGTGTGTAATTACTGTATTCAGAACACAATATGCTGCATAATATTCGTAGTTTGAGGTCTATTTTTAAAAAGTGAATGGAATCTTATTGACCTTACCTCCTGAAGCTGACCAACGACTTATGAATCCCAATTCTGGCCTCTATTAACCCCAACTAAAAATATCTGATGAGCAACATTTTGAAATAGCATCCCTGGTGTTGTATAATATTTTATTTTTTATCACATTTTCAGTTAAAACAGAAACACAAACCCCCACCAATAACTGTTCCATCTCATCTAAATGATTTGGCTGCCATGCCGTCACCGAGTATTAACAGTCCGAGAAAAAGTTTCTTTAAAAAGAATGTGGATGATGGAATGGATAAGTAAGTACAAAATGTTAAAAGTTTGTGAGCCATGGTGATTTATTGAAGGCCGAGAAAGTTCATCAGGATTTTTCGGCTTGGTTCCCGTTTGTCAGTGGGGTGGGGGTTGGAAGGCTGAATGTTTAGAGCGTGCGCGTTCTATCATAAGGTCTGTGATTGAGTCAACTGGCGTGGTTTCGATTCTCTGGTTTTACGTGTCAAGGCTTAGGGTATCCTCACACTGCTAAAGACCACTACGTGCAAGTGAATTATTGAAATAAAATTGAACCATGTGTTAGTCCTGAAATGACCTGGTTTGTGTCGAGTAGACATTAAACCCCATTTCTCTCTCTCTGTCTCTTTGTCAGTGGTGCAAGATAGAGGGCCTGGCAAGGGAGCAGTAGTTTCACATGAATCAGGGTGGTTTAAAGTACTGTAGGGAGCAGTAGTTTTACATGAGTCGGGGTGGTTTAAAGTGCTACAGGTAGCATTAGTTTCACATAAATCAAGGCGGTTTAAAGTGCTACAGGTAGCATTAGTTTTACATGAGTCAGAGGGGTTTAAAGTGCTACAGGTAGCAGTAGTTTTACATGAGTCAGGGTGGTTTAAAGTGCTACAGGTAGCAGTAGTTTTACATGAGCCAGGGTGGTTTAGCATTAGTTTTAGATGAGTCAGGGTGGTTTAAAGTGCTACAGGTAGCAGTAGTTTCACATGAGTCAGGGTGGTTTAAAGTGCTACAGGTAGCATTAGTTTCAGGCAATCCAAACACTTGAGGATTAAACATATTAACTACACCTTTTGATTGATGAATATATTTACTTGATTTTCACAATTATAAATTTGAATGCCAATTAAAAAAGGTGAATAATTAGGAAGTTTCGTTTCAGAAAATGTAGCTCCCCGTTTAATTCTAGGGTATTGGAGAATGTGGATTTTGAGAGACAGTTTGAATCATTACCCAAATTCATACCTGAAACTTCACAATCCCTTACTCCACTACCACAGTCTCCTAGAGCTCTCATCAATAACTATAAAAAGAAGAAAAGACCAATATCTGGTTTAGGTGGGTATTCATTCTTTCTCTATCTAAATGTTCTAATGCTATGTTCAAATGTCCTTATGGTGCTGTTCTGATGTATCAATTTCGAGTCAATGTAAATCTTGTCTGAAGAAACATCTAAAACTGTGGTGTTATGGACCTTTGTATTTGTAGATGAATCAGGTGCTTTGAACAGGCTTTGTGGATCTAGCATGTAACAAATCGACAGTTATTATTATTATTCAAATCGCATTCTGGTGCTATAATTAAATCTTGTTCTGGTGCTATATTTAAATCCTGTTCCGATGCTATATTTATATCTGATTCTATGTTAAAATGTCATTCTCATGTTACGTTATTTATTATTTTAGTGAAAGGAGATTCAGCTGATGTGGAGAGCAATAAATTCTCAAGTGGATCCGAGCCTGCCACGCCCAAAACGCCGAAAAGTGGACGGTTTGATGATACTGAATTCTTTGGTCCTAATTTTAATCTTGAGGATCTCAAACAGCAAGATTTTCGAGCTAAAGGTAGGGCCACAAATTCCATTCATTGTTAAAACAAAATATGTATTAATATAACCAGTGAAACCAAATACGATGGAATCCATAAAACCGAATAAAAGATAGGAGGATATTTAGACAACGAGGTCAATAAAAATGTCCTGGTAACTATGAAATCATGTAAAAGTTTCAGCAGGAGGGCCATAAGGTTCCCCTGTATTATACATGGGTTTATTCTCTCTCTCTCTCTCTCTCTCTCTCTCTCTCTCTCTCTCTCTCTCTCTCTCAGAAATGTTTATTTTACTTATTCAGATTTTTGTGAGGGTGATTTGAACTCTCCTCGTACACCAAAAACACCTTGCTCTCCGGGAACTTTCTCCAACAGAAGAATACTGGAGCAAAGAAGACTGTTGGTCATGCAACTATTCGAAGAGTATGGACTATTTCCAACAGGTACGCCCCTTTTTGCAGTAGCACCTATCATGTATATTAAAATGTCTAGTTCGTCAAAATGTGCAGACTAGAAAATATCCAACAGGTACACCTTCTTTTGGATGTGGCCCCTATCATGTGTATTAAATGTCTAGTTTGTCAAAAAATGCAACAGTTTGTTCTAGTTGTGCAAATATAAAAACATGCAAACAGACTTCTGGTTGCAAGGAATATTACTACTTTTTGAAAATTAAACCAGATGAAAATACATTTCTAAGGAAATAAGTTGATATTTAACCACATTCAATTGCTCTTGGGGCATTCCATGTTCCTGAAACAACGACCGCAAGTTTTACAACATCTAGCTGTTGCTACATAATTCAGAAAATCTCTAACTTATAAGTATGTTATTTCCCTTTACCGCAGACACGTGAACAGTAGCTTTGTCCAATCAAAGGTTGTGACACAAACACACTCAAATCAACCATGGTGGTAAACGGAAGGTAGACATTCTAGCTGGAAAGCATCAGACTTGGTATTCACGATATTTTCTATCGATGAATCTAGAGGCCCCCATCTGGGTCAGTAGCCAATCAAAATTAGTGGCGAGATATGCAGGGTATTACGTGAAGGGCTTGATCAGATGTATTGAGATAAAGCGAGATCAAGCCTTCTGTTGGAGATGGGGGCATGCATTTGGTGCTCTAAAAATCTATATTATTATTCTCTTTCTTTCCACTTTACTGAAATGATTTCTTTGTCCATTTCAGGCCAGAATACAGCCACGTTTCAATCCCAGCATTCTGATATATTCCCCAACAAAACTTGCCTGCAGTTGAAAATTCGAGAAGTCAGACAGAAAATGATGGCCCAGTCCGCTGCAGCAATGAAAGACTTCGAGGGCTATCCGCCGAGCACAGCCTCATCTCCAGCATCTACACCCACCAGTGCTTTTAGTCAGGTCGATTCATCCGGAGGACAAATGGGCAATTACACGACCAGTCGATCCAACTTTCCTACTCCCCACAGCCAGTTGGCTGTGAGCTCCAGTAATAATAGTAATAATAATGTGTCTGGCTCGGGGAATCCTTCTCATGCTAATCAAGGACAAAATAATGTTGAACAGCAGTAGAATTTATTTATTACTATATGATCGTGTTCAGTATATATCTCTGTTACTTGTGAGATAAGTGTTTTGTACGTGAGTGTATTCTGTGAGACTGTGTTCATTGGCTATTTATAACTTTGATGAAGTTCATACCACTAATTGTTTATTAAGGTCGTTTCGTTGTTTATCGCATGGTTTTTGGATTTGATTTGAAGCAGAATTTGATTGCCAATCCAAATATAATTCCTAAATTTGTTCATGAAATTCATCAAGTGGCTGTTTATTTATCAAGATCCAAAAGGACAAAACATGAATTGGATTGGCCTTAGTGCTGGCATGATATATCAATTAATTGATGTATCACGATTCACCTTCTCACTAGTGTTGGCCTAAAAGAAAAATAATCCTGGGTCTAAAGATGTAGATAGAAATATTTGAGTTAAACCATTTAAAGTGTTTATTTATTGTTACTGTATCTCGCTAGTCTTGTTAGTAATAAGATTTCATGCAACTCTATAGAAGATTCCAGTAGTTCCACGGTTTATTAAAAGAGGGATGCTCACTAGACTGTGGGTTAAGGGTATCGGAAGTGGAGGGTTCCTATAGAATCCTCTACAGAAAGCATGGGCCGTGGGTCTTAACATTTCCTTGCACCCAACGAGAATCAAACCCATGGTTGCCCCTGTTTGCTTCGCAGTTGCCCATCAAACACTCTACAACTGAGCTTTCACAAGCTAGGGTTAGGTTTATTGTGGTTGTGCAACCATCTCTATGCTGTTTTGACCATGATAAAAATGTCTAAAACCGTTAATTGGTTCATGTATTTAGTATACTGTATAGCTGTGGCCCATTGAACTCTCAGACTAGTGAACACCCTTTAAAACTATAAAAAATTTAGAGTACATTCCTGGTATTAGTGTAATATTTAGTTTAATCCTGTATTTATATATTTATGTGCCTTTATATATTTTTTTTGAAAGAAGGGTTTGTACCTTGCTTCAGCTCAAGTTGTACTTCATTGAGATTTTAAAGATTAAATTTAGACAAAGATTGAAGAAAGAAAAATTACTTAAATGTCAAATATTCTAATTCTAAAATATATATTGTTGAACTGATACTGCTGACTTGTGATCCAATGCCTTTCATTAATGAAAATGTTTGTGTTTGAATGATACAAGTGATTATTACTTGTATACAGAAAGAGGTTAGAAATTATACAGTAGTCGTTAATTAGCAGGTGTGTTACTAGCTGTAAAAGATGTCACTTCTAGCGTAAAAGCGTGACTAATTATAATACCCATCACTATTGAATACACAAAACTAACAAATAGTAGTGTATATCATTCAATAGTCACAGTTTTTTAACACCTTAGTGACGTAACACCTAGGTAATGTCTACTGTCTAATTACTAACAATTCTACTGCACTAATGAACATTATGTGTATAAAATGACGACTTACATCCGTTTGTGACAGATATTTTCATTGGTAAAAGTCATTCTTAATCAATCTTTTCTAAATATTCAAAAGCACAAGTGTTGTTAAATTGTTTAAGCGGCATTTAGTAACAGAATGAGAATAACACATGACACAATTATATTTACAAGTCACTATACTATAGTTGACATTGTTTGCATGAATAAGACGAGAGAACCTTTGTCAAAATGTTGCCAGAAATAAACTTTTAACTAACTTGTTCTCCATATAATTGTGTCATGTTTTAAATGTTTGTTAGTTGCATATTTGTAATGATGTAAAAGCTGTAAGATTGGTTGTTGTCAAGTATATTATTGTTCTGTATATAAATGGTTTTAATATCTGGGGACTGCTAGTGAAGGAAAATTTAAATTGCTATATTTGACAGATATCCTCACTTTCATTGGCTAATGGCTAACATCTGTTTTAGGATTCTAAACTTTTAGCCAATGAAAATGGCCCTTCCATTTTTGTTATTTAGTTATCTGTACTGTTATCTGTACTGTTTTTAAGTAGTGTTGATTTATATTCTTGTGGGCTGCCATATCAAATTGTCTTTAAATTCAGTAGCTTCTATGGCAACCAATTTCAATTCAAGTTTGTTGAGCAACACACATCTGTTGGTATTGATGATAGTCTTGACATAAAAGTCTATCATCATATCCTTCTGTTGTGCAACAGAAACCTGTTGTTGTTAGATGATACAGTCTTGACATAATAGTCTATCATGAACTTGATTATTCGGACTGTCTCAGATTTTTTTTCCTGAATACTCAGTGCTAGATTTGTGTTGTTCTATGTTTTAAATTTGGCTTTCCATGTTTATTTGAAAATAACATCTTACCCAACGTAATAATCGCCTGGCTTTAATAACACGCCCACTTGGTTTGGTTTTCCTAGGATTGTAATATGCAGTGTTCTACTCGCAAGTTGTTAAAGTTAGGTTTTAAAAAGGTCTGGCAAACGAGAGGGGTAATGACAACACCTTTAAAAGAGTAGCAGAGACTAGACAGGCTTATAGATCTTTATAGCTGCTGGATCAAATGATCTCTACTGCTGTCAACACACTCTTGAAACTGTAGCCGTTGTTATAGAAAAACCTAGACCATTATCAATATCAGACTCTATAAACAAAAGTCAGAAATTCCTTAAACAACATTCAGATTCCTCAAACGATGTTCAGAAACTTTAACTGACTTGTCAATCAGCATGTCAACTTGGTTTGTTCCAGTCCCTAAAGTGCAACATTTTACTCTGTGTGACAACCCACATGGTTCTAAGTGGTGCTCTTGTTCACTCTTCACTTCTCCTGTGGGACAGATTATTCTAACTCTTATTTCTTGGCCGTTTGCCAATAAAACGTGACAAGAATATTCTTTGGAACATTCCCAAGGCATTAACGGAGGCAGAATTTGGATGTAGACCAATCATGTCTGGAATCGGCTTTCCATGTCTGGAATCCGCTTTTCATGTCTGGAGTCAGCATGAACAATTTTTTCTCCAAGGATCCTGGCGATTATTTCTATTTGAATAGGGTATAAATAATAATGTGATAATGTCTGTCTTGTCTTAAATTAAGACATCTAACTAAACACAATCCTTCCATAATTTATCAAAAACAAATCAAGTGCTAATAAATACCAGAAAGATGTAAAATATTTGTGAAATAAGAAAATTAGACTGTGATACATTATGTCACGTTTTATTTTTGTCTGTCACGTATGTATGTAAATATTCAGGTGGCCATATCTAATCAAAACATAAACGATTTATTGTATAGTCGTGGAAGTTCATGTTCCAATATCTGTATCAGGGCTCTCATTTAGGCCATATTGACCAGTCTTGACTGACTAGTTGTGGAAATTGACTGGCAGGAGAACCTGAATGTCAGTCAATTAGCATCCATAAAATTAGATTGCTGTTAAATTCATAATTTTTTGTCTAAACACACTTGACAGATATAATATTAATATGCCATAAAATTAAACTACTGTTAAATTTATAATTGTTATGTGTAAACACACTCAAAAAATATATTTAAAAGTTTTGATAATGGTAAAAATTGTCACATACTTTGGAATCAGCTGTAAACATTATTGACATGCTGGCAATTTAGTGAAGTTAGAGCCCAGATGTCCACTCATGTTTGATAGCATTTCTTTACAGTTTATCATCGATTTTTTTTTTATGGTTTAAAATACGAGATTTAGCAGCACTGTGACAATTCTTAGAAATCCTAATGATAAGCGACTCACTGGATATGCGAGATTCACAATAAATTCTAAAATTTGTTTTCTACCTAGAAAGAATTTAATATTCAAATTAAGTTGCTGGATAGGATTTGTATCATGATTTTGCAATTGGGAATTTGGAATTGCAGTTTTATCAGTGTCTTAGTGAATGTCTGTGGTAGACTGATGGTTTGTGCAACAGAGGTTAATTTGGTGCTGATAGGAGCTAACTGATTAAAATTAGAAATCTCTGTTGACTAGAATGTCAGAGCAAAAACATTGTATATTCATGACTACAGTGATCATCACTTTAAAGGAAGTATGAATTCCATTGAGATATATTTGAATTTCATTTCCATGCATATAGTTCAAATTCAATCAAGAATGCTTTGTGTTGAAGTGCTGGTTTTAAAAATTGCATGTTGTACTTAAATTCTTCAACATGATCCGAGAGTATGTATGTGGTTTGTTTTAGCGAATATTACACATTTTATCTCCATTGGTAAATCCTATGATCGTTAAGACGTTTTGTTATGTTTATATTGTAAATTATATGTAAATATTCCCCAATCCCCCCCTCCCTCCTCCACTACACCCATAAAAATATGTTGTTAAATATTTTCCAATATTGTAAATGGGTTTCTGAATGAAAAATGGCAAAAGATTAATAGAAAGGGTTTGGTTATGAGATGAAAAGAAATATATTTTCAGAATAGTGACCAGATTTTTTTTTTTGTGATATATTGTACATTAGTGAGCTATGACTTGACTGATGATAATTTGAATTTAAAAAATATATGCTGATAGTTTGCAATTTTTTAATGGTGAAACTTTTATTTTAATATACAGGACATGATTGTATGGAATACAATTGCTGTTTGTAAACTGAGCGGTGTTTCGAGGGCATAAAGACTAGAGAGTCCTAGTTACAACATAGCTTAGTAATTAACAACAAATGTATTCCATAAAAATGTGTCTTGAAATGTCATTGAAACCATTAAACTTTATTTTAAGTACTGTTAGTAAAAGTTCAAATTATCGGAATGTCATTTTAAGGGCAAATCGAGGGAGAAACATGTATATTTAAAAGAATGGATCTTCTGATTGAGGGTGAATTGTGTATATTTAAAAGAATTGATCTTTTAATTAAAGATTTGAGGGAGAGAAAGAGAGAATGCTTGAGATAAAGTGCAGTTGTTTTGTTATGTATGACTTTTATTTTAAACTTTAAATAAATTAATATTAATTATTCTTGGAGAAAAAAAAATTGTTAAAAGTTGTTATCTATTTTGTAGTTCTATATTTCTTGTTGCTAAACATCCTGTAGAATTGTTTTATTAAACCAGTATATATAATATATATATATATATAGTATAATGTACAGATTGTTATGATTATTACATATATAAAACATCCTCCCCCCTCCCCAGTATATATAATATAAATATATATTATAATGTACAGATTGTTATGATTATTACATATATAACATCCTCCCCCTGCCCCTTTCTTCCTTCATTAATACCAAAACAAATAAAAAATAACTAAACAAAAAAATGGAGAAAAAAATATCAAATATTAGTTAGTCCTTTTTTTTGTGTAATATAAATGTTCACACTACCATCTTTCTTGTATTATACTCATCCATCCATCATCATCATCAGAAATATTTTCAGTAAATTTATCATTTGTATGTATTAATGTTTTTCACCAAATATGAATAATTGATTAATTAATTTTAGATGAAAAATGTCACCGATTTTAATGTCCTGTGCCTGAATTAGTGTACAAATTATTCACCTTTTTTATACAGTGATATGTTTTAACATTTGTAAGAATGGGCATTTATACATATTAGATGTGTATTTTTGAACACAGGATCAGCTTGATCTTTACAAGTTTTTATTTTGAATTGACCTCATTGGGTAGATGGCAAAAGGAATTATATACTGGCTTCTATAATTCAAAGTTTTATTTGTTGGTAGGATAGTGATGAAGGAAACCAGGAGCCACATAGACTCAGTAAGATGCTGGCTCAGATAGGGATGAAGGGAACTGAGAATGTCAAAAGTAAATGCTGGGAAACTAATCAGAGGGTCCTGGCTTCAGATAATTATGAAGGAAAATGGGAACTACAGAGACTCTGTGAGTAAGACACTGGCTCACTAATCAGAGGGTCCTTGGTTCAATCCTGGTTTTAGCTGAAATATTTTCTCTGGATTTTCCAGCATGGTTTCTCCTTGTGTGGCTTGGCAATAATCATTGTCCGGTCGTTTGATTGGGTTGAAAAAACTATGTACACTTTTGCATGCACGTAAAAGAAACCTTGTAAGCTAAAATTAGATGAAGAGTAGGTAGTAACGCCGCTGTTTTGGCAAAATTCCCCTCATAGCTTATGCCCATCATCATTAGCAAGTTTGGCACAGAGAAGTATGACGTTAAACCCCATTTCATTTCACATTGTGTAGAAGAAGAATAAGTCCATTTATATAGCGCTAAATTTCACTTCCTGTTGTGCTCTTAGCGCTCTCACAAAGTTATGTTTTATAGAATTCTCCAAATAGATAATTTTTAAATTGTGCCTCTAAAAACTTAAGAAACTTGGAGAGAAAGATACAATGGACCACTTGGCAGCCATCTTTAGTCAGTAGTCAATACCTCAAGCCAAAAATTAAGATGATTTGATTGGGTGGCCATTTAATTATAATTGAGTAATGCTGATTCCATCTACCCAATGCATGACTTCATTATTTGCCACAAAATAATTTTTCCTTGTCTTGTGTTTGAAAATACAGGCCTACATATTATTCTAAACAAAAAATTTCTAGTTTTAGTAAATTGCATCCAGAATTTATTTGAGTTACTGTTTTAGACCTCTTAGTATAACTGTTGTCCGTAACATACCACAACCCCAGACAGATTGCTTTAGGAAGCTTATCTGTAAATGAGGGCTCTCATTTAAGTCTTGGGCGCGTTTTCCATGTATGCCTTTCTGCTGCGTTTTTGTTTGCATTTACACCAGTTACATGGAAACGGTCCCATTATATTCGCAGGTGAAAACACGTACATGGAAAACCTGCCTTAAATTTATAGTTTTTATGCGTTTAAAATTGTCAAATTCTCTGAAAAATATATTTTGTTAATTCAAGGTAAATAAACCATGTTAACGAGAAATGACTGACTGAAAGCCCTTATTAAATTTTAAATATCTGACCCTAAGTTCACACAGCATTCTCAGACTTAAGTTAAAAATCTACTTGAAATTGTAACTAAAATATAGCCCTTTATAAAACTTTTGTTGTTTTAATGTATCAATTATATATCTATGTGCAAAGTTTTGTGTTGGTGGATCAAAGATATTTCTCATAAAGACTGATTGAAAGTTGAGTAAATTCTTAAAGGTGCATTATTCAAGAGCTATATTTGCCTATTATTCAAGAGCTTTAAGCCTTAAATGTGATATAAATTATTAATTAGATATTTATTAACATGACAAAACCATAATAAACTCCTATTTTGAGTAGATTGGAACAGTTTGGCCATTTAACGATTTAATTTAAAAATGGAGAAGCGATACTAAGCCTTGATAAACAATCATTGCACAGATCTTGTTAAAACTACTAACGGTGTCAACTTCACTCAGAATAAAGTAATTTGAATGAAATTTTCAATACATTCATTTTGCATTATCTATTCTCGAACTATTCTAGCAAGAGGCCAGTTCTTTATCTAAATCTTATATAATATATGTTTAACTTAAGTCTGAGAATGCATGTGAACTCGGGGCAAGTAGGACCTATTATCTGTTTCTGGGCTAATGGTTATGGAAAGCTAGTTTAGACTTCCAGTTTAGTTTATATAAAGTGAAGGGAATTAATTAGATGAGTCCAATGTTAAATTTGTAATACACAGCTGCCTTGTATCAATCCCAAAATAGTCAATAGTTTTATTTGAATATTTTAGTTTAGTTAGTCAAAATGAAAATATTCAAAAATCAGTATCCAGATAAATTGTCTTAAAGGCTTGAGGAGTCATTTGCATTTTTATCAAAATATCAAATTTCTCATGGCTTAAAAACACGCTGAATATGTACTGGGATTAATTATTTAACTTTTAATTACGAAAAGAAATACAAATTACCAATTCTTGCGGCGTGGATTTTATTGGATTTAAACTAGGTCCATCAGGTTATTCCAGTACCAATAAAAGATTATTGCATCTTGTTAATGCTCTAGCAGCATAGATCAATGAAATTTCAATTTATCATAACTTTGTAAGTACTGAACAGAATTGATAAAATGATGACCTGGGACCGTATTTACAAAAACTTAAATTAAAATATTTTAAAAATTCAACCCATACATTTGCCAAGAGCTAAAAATTTGTACAGGGATATTAACTCTCAACCAATGAAATGCCAGCATCCATAATATATTTTAGTTTAAGTTTTCATGGATTCGTTCCCAGATGTATGGACAGTTTTATTTAAGCCATATGAGAACTCTCTTAATTTTAGGTAAAAAAATAAGATCCGTGGATTATTTGTTGATTGGTACAAAGCCAGTGTTTTTGTGTAATTTAACCTGTTTTTACCCAATGTTATATATGTACAGTAATACTATGTGGAAGAAAGATATATATATATATATATAAATTTCTATAGGTACACCCACTGGTTGTGTTGTACATTACCACCTGTTATATGTCAGTCAAATCCACAATAAATGCACATAAAACATTCTTAGCTTCTTGTCATTTCTTTTGGAATGAATGAATGAAGTGGGGTTTAACCATCTACTTTTCTGCACTGAGTGGGCTAATGAAGACTGGCATATTATGCCATGCACTGTCCTATGAAGGAAAATAAGAGACACCCTTGTCAACCACTCTAACAATTCAGCTCCTGTGGGTGTATGTTTGTAGCCTGGCAACCTATATTTATATAGTCATAAAGTAATGGGTAATGGTAATGAATTACTTTCAATGTAATGTATGATGGTAATTAATTACATTGCTAAAAATGAGAAAGTAATTGTAATGATTACATTTAAAAAGTAATGGTAATGTAATTAATTACATTGTCAATGTAATGGCTGTAGCCCTGAACTGTCAAGGGCTCCTGTACGTTTCACATACCTCCTTTTTTCTTCCCATCCAAATAACTAGACAGTTGTCTCTGTCTGGATGTCTGTCCTGCATCTGACAAGAGGAAATCCATACTGCACACAGCGATCCATCTACTTCCTGTTCTCAGGCGGAGCTAACTGTATGCAGGCAGCCTAAGTTTGGGGTTTAGGATGGAGGAAACCACACCAGAACATCGACCTGAGACCTCGTGATCCAGCATCTTACTCATTTAGCCATCGCTGATTGCCGTTTGTTTTGGCTGTTCTTAGTACAGTACTTGTGAGGGGAGAGCACTTTGGGTGGGGGTCACTTTCAGTCTGCTACATTGAACAACAGGTATGGTAGTCCTGTATAGACCCATGTTCCTGAAGCAATGACTGCGAGTTTTACAAAATCTAAGAGTTTTACAACATCTAGCCGTTGCTTCATTAGTTTGAAATTCACGAACTTACAGGTACGTTATCTCCCTTTACCACAGACATGTGAACAATAGCGGTGTCCAATCAGAGGTCGTGACACAAACACACTCAAATCAAACATGGCGACCCCCGCGGAGACCTCAACATTAAACAATCCTTGAACTTTACAACCCAATTATCACAGGTAGACATATTAGCTGGAAATTGAGACTTGGTATTTGCAATATTTTCTGTCGAGGAATCTGAGAAGCCCCCCAGCTTGGTCAGTCGCCCCTCGAAATTAGTGATGAAATATGAGAGTATTACGTGAAGGGATTAATAATCTATACAGAGTTAAAATGAGATCAAGGCTTCTACTGAAGATGATATGGACCAGGAACCGAGCATGACTTAATATAACTACATTTGATAAAAAAAAAGAAGATCATTTAACATGGTTTACTCTGAAGTCTGAACACCTCATGTCTCCCGAATGCGACAAAAATATCAAGCGTGTTTCATGTGCTAGCCTTGCAATTGGCTCACAATCGAAAAGGCCCTCTATATGCGATTTTCATTTTTTGATATTTTTGATGCCTAATGGGTGTACTTTTCCTAGATAACGTTCAATACCTGCATACATTTTTTTCATACTCACTGGGGATGTGAGGATGTTACACCCACAGTCGTTTAGTGAGGATGACGCGTGGTTCGGTCCTGGTGTTAGGTGTGGTTTTCAGCGGGCTTTCCTCTCTGTAATAGTGCAGGACAGAGAGTTTCGCAAGGAACGGTGTCTAGTCGTTCGGATAGTTTAGAAAAAGTAGGTTCTGTGTACACATTGGCATGCGCGTTAAAGAAGTTAGAGCCCTTTAAAGTTGGAATTCAATGAAGACTTAGTGAAACCACTGCTACCCAAGCATAATTTCCCTCATATCACACCACTTGGTGTATTCTGGTCTTTATTTGCTCAGTTGTTAAAATTAGGACATTTCATTTCAGTTGACTTGGGAAGCAGCTTGGGTCAGGTTAGTGTTGATTAAGGCTTGGTCATGCTGATCTTGGGAGAGTTTCGCCTCTGACACTGCTAAAGACCCCTACGCGCAAGCGAATTATTTAAATAAAATTAAACCATATGTTAGTCCCGAAATGACCTAGTTTGTGTCGAGTGGACGTTAAACCCCATTTCTCTCTCTCAAGCCATGTTACTACAAATCTGAACTAGGTTGGATAGGAAGGGTGCAGGAATCTTGGGGTGTGGCAGCCTGATAATTAAACATACATTATGCAAGAGCTAAATCTGCCTATTACAGGTCTTTCTTTAGGCCTGAAATGTTTTCTAAATTATTAATTAGACAATACCTAACTTATCCAGGCCATAATCAACTCTGGATGGCATAGGATTTCTCCGATATTAAATAGATTAGAATAATTCAGCCATATTTTGATTTAAGCTAAAAATAGTGGAGCAGGAGTTAACTATGAACAACCAGTAGGGTGGTTGAAATTATTGCACACGTCTTGTCAAACCTTTAAAGGCTAATATCTTCATTTGCAATAGAGTAATTTGAATGAAATTTTCAAATTATTCATTTTACATTATCTATTTTTGAACTATTATAGCAAGAATGGCTAGCTCTTTATCTAAACTTACATAATGTATCTTTAAGTTAACCCAAAAAGAAAACTATTTTAGAATATATATATATTATTTAATATTAAAAACAACAGAATATACGCATACTACATTTGTGTGAAATGTAAAAAACAATACACAGTGTAGCAAACAGTCTGTATCTGTCTGGTAGCTTGATCTGAACCCGAGGCTGTCAAAATTACTTTTCTGCACTAGCCAGACCATGACGTCTGATATAAGGGAGATATTGCTCATAAAACAGTCCTACGAATTTCTCTTATTTCAAATTTCTAATGTCAAGGATTCTCTTATTATGTACACGCCAACATGTACATGGAACATGCATACAGATATTTTGCTCAGGTAGTGGCATTTTTGCTTGTCTGGCACCACTGATGCCCAAAAAGGAACCTAGAACCTACAAGACAAGTCAGTGAGTGGTAGCGTGTCGACATTTGGATACGAGAATGAGGGTCTATATATTGATAACTTAAGTCCATTAGTTTTAGATCATACACATCCAGCTGATTTTTTACCTTGTAATATTATATCATATAGAGATCACAATTCTATAGAATACAATTACTGCTTATTACAGATCATAATTCTATGAAATACAATTACTGTTTATTACAGATCACAATTCTATAGAATACAATTACTGATCACAATTCTATAGAATACAATTACTGCTTATTACAGATCATAATTCTATGAAATACAATTACTGTTTATTATGAGCTTCGTAATGACTATAGAAGCCTAGTCGAAATATCGTTCAGTAATAAAGCAGTAATTGTATTTCGTAGAATTATAGCCTGTATATTTCACTTTAATTAATAAATGTCATTGAAACAGTAATATATATTAGTACAAGAATAGTCCATAATGCAAACTGTGCACACAAAAGTAATGTGACTGAAATTTTCAAATTTTTCTTTTTTCTGTATCTATTTTTAAACTATTGTAGCAAGAATGACCAGCTCTTTATCTAAATCTTACATAATTCATCTTATACAAAGTTGAAAAACTAGTTGAATACCGGTATGGGATATATTTAATATAAGAAAACGAACATGGAAGCAACGATAAAAGATAGAGCAATGGCGGTATATCCTGTTTTATATAAAGTTGACAAAGCGAAACCTTTCCCTGCATCCCATGCCTGAAAAAAAAGACAGTAAATTTATGTTCAGATAATTTATGCAATTAACCTTTTAACACTTGATATGGACAACCCCAGTTAACCCTTTAACACTTTTAGACTACACCAGTTAACCCTTTAGCCCTAGGTACATGTATATATTGAATACCCCAGTTAACCCTTTAGCACTAGGTACATGTAAATATTGACTACCGTATTCCCGTTAACCCTTCAGTGCTGGGTACATGTAAATATTGACTACTCCCGTTAACCCTTTAGCGCTGGGTACATGTAAATATTGACCACCCCAGTTTTAACCCTTTAGCAATGGGTACATGTATATATTGACTACCCCAGTTAATCCTTTAGCAATGGATACATGTAAATATTGACTAACCCAGTTCCCTGAAGAAAATTAGAGAAGGGGAAAATGGGGTTTAACATCCACTCGACACAAACTAGGCTATTTCGTGACTAACACATGGTTTAATTTTTTTTCAAAAATTAACTTGTGCGAAAAGGCCTTTAGCAGTGGGAGTAAACCTGAGGACCCTAGAAAACCCATGAGGTTGGACGGATGATCCTACTTCTTGTCACGTACAAGCGGAGAATCGAAACCACACCTCCTGACAAAATGACAGACCTTGTGATCCAACAGACTCACGTTATAAAGACATTCCACCGAAGACGAACATTAATCAATTAATTAATACTTACCAGATGTCGGAATCCGTTAATATAGTGGTACGAAATAGGCCATGCCAATAAATATTTACACCCATAGATAATGAACGGGGCAATTTGAAGAGATTTCACCAGTTCAAGATAATGTGTATAATCACCAGGTAATGCCAACATAATAATGGAGGCTCCAGTTACAGCTGTAAAAAAATACCCATTTATTATAATTTTCAAAATATTCAATAAATTAATAAGAAAGAGAATTGGGGTTTAACATACACTCGAAATGAAATTAAAAGACATTTGATGTCCTACTTATCTGTCCTACATACACCCGAAATGAAATGAAAAGACATTTGATGTCCTACTTATCTGCACTGACTGGGTTCATGAAGACGGGCATACCCCATACAGTGTGCTATGAGGGAAACTTTGCCTGGACAGTGGCGGTTACAGCCTACTCTTATACCATTTAGTTTAAGATGTTGTACATCTCTATATTCTTTTAAAAAACAACTTAAAACACATTTATTTAATCAGGCTTTTAACTGACTCTGTATACAATCGTTAACATGTCCATAATCTTGTTGTTTATTTATGATTACATTGTCACTTTGTAAAGTACCCCTGAACATGTTATATGAAAGGGCGCACTATAAATATAATAATATCGAATTCCAACTGCCAAGGGATGTTTTCCATGCGTACACCAGACCTAGGTTTTTCATACCATTTACCAGGAAAGAAAGTTGTCGGGAAGCAGAGAAAATCCAGAAGATAAGGCAGAAGACCCTTGTTTGTAAAATAGTTTTATTTTCTGATTATCATGTGATAGTGATGTAATATTTACTAACCAACAGACATGGCCACTCCAGTTACACGATGACTCAGTGACATAGACATAGCTAAATGTGGCCTGAAAAAAAACAAAAAAACAAAAAGGCATTAAGCGCTGTACTTCTTCTTGGGGATGATGCTCTTAAAAAAAAAGCTTAGGGTTCTGTCAATTCTAGTACAATCAATATAAAACTTGGCATGCATGTTGTTAATAATTGGACATGGATTGACAGATACGACAACACAATTCCAAGATAACAGTGATTAAGTCATGCTCTGTTCAATTTCAAGATTTTTCAAAGCTCAAATTAGTAAAAACTGTTATGCTTTCGGTAATGAAACAAGAACTCTTCAAGGAACTATTGACTCTTGTGTGTGAGCTTGACCTGACGGACACGATCGATCTTGAAAAAATCGCTGATCAGTGGTCAAACTTGACTAAGCTCGGATGCTTGATGAAAATATGAGGACATAATCATTAGTCATGTCTTTGTTAATTTATGTACATGTATAGTGACCACAAAAATATATCAAAGATATAGGTGATAGGTCCATGTAAATGATGCAATTATCACTTTCTTGTAAAATTCTTAATAATAACATGAATTCCCATCCAGGAAATTTTCGATTTATCATAACTTTATAAATACTGAATGGAATTGAATCATTTCTGGATTGATATCCCTTTTAGAGATTCAACTTTCACAACACTGTAGTTTGCAAGTGATTCATGATGCAGTGCTAAATGATGCATCAGGACTTTAAAACTTGAGATTCCTGTGTAAATTTACATACTTGTAAGCGAATAAAAATGGTGACATTGGTCTCTCCAACTTTTTGTTTTTATCCCAGTAAACTTTCATCTCATCATAAGCTGAAGATGCCATAGCAACACTGAAATATGAAAGAGATTTTATTTTAATTTTCTAATTTTGTGTTTATCTCAATTTAAGTATATTTACATCTGAAACAATTTTCAGGTTTTGATACAGTTTGAAATACTCTGAAACAGAAAGTCATACATTTACCAAATAGTTTTCAACTATCAGAATACATGTACATTGGATTGGATCTATCATGAATAAAAATCATTTCTTCGCTACAGTGCTGGAATTCCAACCAGGTGGGTGCTCCCAGACTCAAATTTCAATGCGACACAAGAAATTCATCAACAATTTATGTTCTGTTTTTAAAATCCATTCAAAGGCCTGTAGGGCCTATATTTTCCACACTTTTAACTTTTTGTGGTCAAGATGATGGGAGCAGGTGAGGAAATTTCATGTTCACCACAATCAGAGGTTGTTGATTTTAATTAGCGAGAACGACAATACTGATTAAAAATTCCTTTAAACAAAATAGAACAAATTTACAGTGAAAATGGTTGTAGGTTAATACAGACAATTTAAAAACTATTCTTTGATCAACTGGAAGCCAGTGTAAATCACTGACAATCATAGTTATATGATCTGTTGTTTTTTTTGTTCTCGTTATAGGCCTAATTCTAATTGCTCAGTGGTGGACAGATTCTAATGACTAGCCATTATTTATTTATAGGCATAGGTTAGACGTTCAAGTCTAAAAACGCTGGCTGTAGTTCTGGTAACAGAGACACTTCAGTTTGTTTATTTCCCCTAGCTACTAACTGTCTGATCACCAGCAATTTTAAATCATTCTATGTTTATTTAACACTATAGAAACTTTATATAGGCCTACCAATTACATGTAAAAGTTAAACCTTGGCTTATACTTATAGTAATACTTACTTTTTATTTGCAAAAGACAGCTGCTGCCTCAAAAGGCAGTTTTTTCCCAGTGACCTAAAATAATAAAAAAAAATATATTAAAAAATGCAAGACATTAATCATAAAAATGTCGTTATTTTTGAAGGGCAACGCTGCATTTACTGACCATAACAAGGACTTAATAAGACAGGAAAATCCATGAAGGGCAAGGTCATTTTATTCACTTTTTCATAAACACTTATTAATTATTATATATACAACAGGATTTAATTGAGTTTCCCCCTTCGTCTGTGCTTGATTCTGTCCATATACGTGCATCATTTTATGGAAGTATGGTGCGAACGCAATAAAATTCAGTCTGCAAAGTTCGAAAAAGTAAAACAAGTCATTGTTTCAAGGACTTTAGTCAACCTAAACAATTCTTACCTAACTAGCATAGCCATTTTGTCTGCTAGATGTCTTGACTAACCAGTCCCGAAACCCGTCTATGTGTTACCAAAGCAATTAAGGACTAGGTATAAGTAGCTACAGATACATCACAAAATTAGGATCAATAAAAGCAAAACGAAAAAAAGCAATAACAATATTGTCTTGTTACTTTTGTATTTATCAGTCTTAAATACGTCTAACGATATTCTAGTTTGTAAACAAAATAATTGAAATTTGTAATTATAAAATAAAGGTTATCAAATAAAGAAAAGATTTCGTTTCTCGAATGAACCTGGCGCCGAAACTTTGTAAACCAAAAGCGAAAACACGCGAGATTATACGAGATCATCACAATAAGCGCGCTTTTCATAAAATTAGTTTGTATTAAACATACGATAAAAATAAACAAAAGGTTTGTAAAAATCAGATATGTACGGTATGGCATTTTTATTTATTTATGTTTGCGAAGTTAACCTGCCTATAATGACAATTAAGTAGTTGTCATTGCCTGCTAAATAGTTCTTCAGTCAGTGAAATACCACATGGTTGTGATGGAATTTTCAACCCATTCACTTCTGACTTCACTTGTCATGAGTGATGACATGGCTTTACTTTACAAGTTGAGCAAGTTATAATAGAAACAATTGTTTTATTTGACGACAAACCTTTGCCAAGATTAATTGTTTTTGACTCACCCAGAAGAATAATAAAATGTTTCATCGTTCAGTCTGTTATTAGTTCAGCTCTGAATGTAGGTCTCATTACACTCACCATGTAGGCTACATTCAGGAACCGCCCTATTGAATCCTTGTCAAAAGAGTTTCGACCCCCCAATCTATTTTACTGGGTAACTTTTTACTGCTAAACTGTCTTGTGTTAGTCTGAATACATGTATACAACGTAAAAGAACATTTTAGTGAGAAAATAAGACCTTGCTTACCTTGCTAGAGTCAGTATGTGCAACACAATAACATGCTGTTAAAAATATGTCCCCTTCTGCTAAATGGCTTGACAGAAGCCATTGAAATCTAAATATAGGATAACGCACAAATTTATGTAACTCGGCCATATAAGACGAACCATATGTATTGTTAGTCACAAAATGATCTATTTTGTGTTGAGTGGACATTAAACCCCATTTCTCTGTCTCTCTATTCTCTTATTAGCCACCAAGTGAAGCTGCAAAATCACTATCTCATTACACCTTATTTAAATGACAGTCACATTTGGCACTGGTGACGGGTTGGGTCCTTAAACATCCATTTGAGCCAGATCTTAGAGCTTGTCAACCTTTCAGCTCACACATTGTGGTGTACATACAGTGTGTAAATACTTCGCTAAGTCGACTCTTAATATCTGTTCCTCTGAATCACTGATCATTTCTGAACTTTTTTTTTTTTTAAATTACAGATGCCTTCAGATCAGATCACGTATTCAGAAAAATATTTTGATGAATATTTTGAATACAGGTAAGTGGATTTAACTACAATCTCTTTTACATTTCTGTGTACAGGGTTTATGAGGTCATAAAAAATATCTTTTTCATTAGGGGAGCTATAGGACTCATTTAGTTGCCACTTGAAAATATGTTTGGTGTCATGCCACTGTTGCTGGAACTATTGCAGATTTTTGGGGGAGGTGGGTGGCCAATTGATCTAAAGTCTAAGGCGTCAAATGGCATGGTTATGGTTCCCAGCTTGTATATGACAAGGAATAGTGTCAACTGGCCAACCTTGCATGTTTACCGGGTCCTCTGATTTCTTCTTCCTTTCAAATTATTGGGGGAGGTTGGGTGCATTTAATTCATTTGGCTCTTGATGTAATTTTTCCATACATGTATTTACCACTGTACAAAATTTTAATGTTTATTTTTCTAGACATGTCATATTGCCATCTGATATTGCAAAAAATGTTCCCAGAAATCATTTGATGACAGAAACAGAGTGGAGAAATTTGGGGGTTCAGCAGTCGCCAGGGTGGATTCATTATATGGTACATTCACCAGGTAAGTAAGACTGGTCTTTAGAATAAAGAAGCCTAGCTGAAAAGTCGCTCAGTAATAAGCAGTAAGCGCCTAGTTGTTAGGATGTAAAAAAAAACTTGTGAGATCCCATTATTGGTAATGCATGTTAAAGATTCCTTGATAGGTGGAAGTTGAATGGCAACCCCTTTAGCACTTTAACTACCTTATGCTCCAATCACATGGATAGCTTTGACTCACCCAAGACCTAGTATCAGTCCTAGAATTCAGAGAGGTATTTACATATTTCGGGTGGTTTGACATGGTCTAAGCCACTGTAGTTTTGGGCTGTTCAACCAAAGATATAGCGGTATGAACCATGATTTTCATATCGACTGTATATGGAAAATGACTGAAACTAGATCTGACCCATCGGTCATTTTGCATGATGGAAAAATAGCTGATTTTTCAAACCCCAATTTTCAAATATGGTTACAATTGACCTCCGCTATGTAATTATAAAATTCTGTGGCCTGTACAGAATAATGCGCATGTATAGATAGAATAAATAGAAGCCACACAATGACTGACAGTGAAAATTTTGAATTGGAAGTCCTGGTATGAACTATATCACTTTTCTCTAATTGTTTCAGGAATCCAGGGTAGTCAACTGCTAAGGGGGTTAAACAAAGTTATATTTATTAAAGTATTTAAAATCAATTGCACAAATTTATTTTTCAGAACCACATGTGTTATTGTTTCGACGACCATTACCTGCAAAACCACAAGCACCAGCTCAACTACAGACAATAGCAAGTCATGGGTGAAATAACGACCAGAATTAATTATTGTCATTGACTAACACTAAGACATTTAATATGGTATCATCAACAATCATACCAGTTTCTTGTTACAGCTTGAATTATTGTCATTAGGAAGTTGTTACGTTACAGAATAACTCATTTTAAAATGGCAGTTGTTACCAACCTAACATTGGTCATTTTGCATTCTTTTAACTATAGACCTGTCTTATATAGTAATATTAATTTATGTTGCAGTGTTTTAGTAAAATGTTGCTTTTTTATAGAAACTATGTTATAGATGGATATTTGTTGCTAAGGTTGTGAATTAAACCGACACATAAGATCTTAGGCACTGTCCTTATCAGAATTTTTGGAATTTTGCAATTTTGTTGGTAAATGTTGAAGTTGTTGATCGTCATTTGAATTTATAGGGTAATATCCCCTTTTTTTTTTCGGCTAGATTGTTTAATACTAGCGGATGGCCCGGGACAGCCCTAGAGTAACTGCCAATCCTGAACAGACAGACAACGACAGTCACAAATATTAGAATAGATTTAATTAAGAAAACAAAAGCAAAATATCACAATGTTTGGATTTAATTGGATAAAGAGCCATATCAGAATATCTTTCCCAACACTCTTTGGTGATGTTGGCTTATTTACGGACAATGCTGATTGTTATGAAATTATCATTGCTTCATATCTTTGTAAATATTGAACGGGTTTTGGACTAATATTCTATTTTGAAATTCATCTTTCATGATATTGTAGTTTCTAAGGGATTCAAAATCTCTCAAATGACGACCACCAACTTTAAATGTTGATATTTTATAAGATATTAACATGCAGTTATTACCTTTAAAGGGTATGTCTGTTCAGTTTATTAACATTTTAGGGTTGTTATTAAATGTTAAATGTTCATTTTGGCTCTTTTTAAAACTGGATAAGCAATGGATTTTCCCAGTCAATTTATTTATGTTTAGAAATTTTAATATTTTAGAATTAAAAATTTGACTTTCATTAAGTTCCTGTGCATTTTGGATCTTAACATGGATTACAAAACATATCAGCCATATTCTTATGAGGAATTTATTGCGCCTGGATTGGTTTTATGATAAATTTCATGCTTTTGTAGAGTTATAATTTATTTAAAGTGGATTTGGTTTTAAATTGAAGTACATGCTTTTTGTAGATCTAGAGTTATAACTTATTTATAACAGGATTTAAAGCATATTCTAGTCTATGATTCAGATAATGCTCGTTTTATAATTTAATGTACTACTTGACTCACTTTTTATGCTTTCTGTTCCCAAACATACTGAATTATCCCCCTTTAGTCTTCAGACTTGGCGACACAACTTCTTATTTTATTTGTTTGTTAATTTTTCTCCCAGATTTGTGCCATCAGCTGTTCAAGTTATTTTTTAATTAAATATTCTATTTCTGTGTTCTTTCTGGTTACAATCATCATGAATTATCTCCCTTTAGTCTTCAGCATAAAATTGGTTTGGGTGAGCCTATTATCACGCCAGCTGAGGAGGTCCCACACAATGAGTTAAACACAAGAATTAGTTACACACCACTTTCTAGACCTGTGATTCTTTGTGTCAAATGCAGCTTTATAACTTTTCCTAACAGTTAAACCAAACCCAGAATTCCAGATAATGAATTCTCCGCGTGGAAATGACCCTGCCCCTAATCGCACTGGTAAGGCCCTACTCACCACAAGGATTAGGTATACACCCATTTCTAGGCAAATGCTCTTTTGTGAAATGAGGGCTTTGTCTCTTTCCCAGAATTCCACACTGACGGATTTTCCATATGGAAATGAACTCCCGACAGACCTAAATATAGACAGCATCAATTTATTTGTTTTAATTAAATTGTTACATTTCCATCTTTATACAGCTGGCTGTTTTTATTATTTTAACTTGAAGGCATTTCATCCAATCATCTTTAAATCTTGTTCTTGTTCAATCAAAAATAAAGTTATTATTCTCAGATATCTATTGTTCATTAGTATTAATAATAATGTTGTTTATCCACAAGGGTTTAGCTCAAGGAGCCACATTGGCTCAGTAAGATGTAGGCTCGCTAACCTGGAGGTCCTCAATGGGTTGGCTGGAAAAGTCCATCTTGATTTTCTGGCGTGGTTGTCAGTCTTGGAGGATGGCCGGGCAAGGGACAATGTATAGTTGTTCGAATGGTACAGAAAACCGAGGTCAACATTGGCGTGCATGTAAAAGAACCCTTGGCAGATGGCCGGGCAAGGGACAATGTATAGTTGTTCGAATGGTACAGAAAACCGAGGTCAACATTGGCGTGCATGTAAAAGAACCCTTGGCAGATGGAATTTGATATAAGAGTGGACCGTAGTGCCATTGTCCGGGTAAAATTTCTCTCGTAGCACACTGCATGGCATATGCCCACCTTCATTAGCTCCCTCAGAGCAGAACAGTGGGATGTTAAACCCCATTTCATTTCTGTTGAGCTCAAAGCATGATACAATTACAGGTAAAACCTGATTGCCTCCACTTGCCCATGAACTCTTTTAAATCTAACCAAGAGTCCTCAAACAGTTTTTTATACGCCCACATGAAAATGTGGGGTATATTGTCTCCGTCTGTGTACGTCCGTCCACAATTGTTTGTGAAAAGTCTACAGGTCACAATTTTTATCCGATTTCAATGAAACTTGAAATATAGGTTTATCACCCTAAGATCTCTGTTCCTTTTGATATTGGCATGTATCGGACTGTAACTTCATGGATTATGGCCCTGATTGTACGAAAAATCACGTTTTTAGCTTGTGAACACTGTAGAGGTCACAATTTTTATCCGATTTAGTTTAAACTTGAAATGTATGATTATAACCCAAAGATCTCGGTTCCTTTCGATATTCGCGCATATCGGACCATAACTTCCTGAATTATGGCCCCTGATTGTACGAAAAATCGTGTTTTTAGCTTGTGGACCCTATAGAGGTCATAATTTTTATCCGATTTAAAAAAACGTATTATTATATCACCGGTAAAATCTAAGGACGGCTGATATCGAATTTCGTGAAAATCGTCCCAAAACTGACAGACAAAATGGCCGTCCTCCGTTCTCAAATAGGGTAAAAATATGGTATATCAAGGTTGTGAACCTACAGGTCACAATTTTAATCCTACTTTGATGAATCTTGAAATCTAAGTTTATAACCCAAAGATCTCGGTTCCTTTCGATATTCGCACATATCGGAACGTAACTTCCTGAATTATGGCCCCTGATTGTACGAAAAATTGCGATTTTAGCTTGTGGACCAAATAGAGGTCATAAATTTTATCCGATTGAGAAAAACTTATTATTATATCACCGTTAAACCCTAAGGATGACTGAGTTCGAATTTCGTGAAAATCGGCCCAAAACTGACAGACAAAATGGCCGCCCTTCGTTCTCAAATAGCGTAAAAACATGGTATATCAATGTTGTGGACCCTATAGAGGTCACAATTTTTATCACATTGTGATGAAACTTGAAATGTAAGTTTATAACCCAAAGATCTCGGTTCCTTTCCATACTCGCGCATATCGGACAGTACCTTCCTGAATTATGGCCCCTGATTATACGAAAAATCACTTTCTTTTTAGCTTGTTCTCTATCCATCTCTCGAAAATGTGGGCGTATACTGCCTGGCAGCCGCTGGTTGTGTAAATGCATTGGCTGAGAGAATACCTCCGATATATTCAGTATGGTTTCCCCTTTTCAATGGTGTAGGACAAATGGGGCAAAAATTGAGGCCCTGTCTACATGTGTCCTCTCCTCGCATTCAACATGTAACCAACCAAATGAATTGTTGTTTTGTAGGCTTTCATTGGTACCAACACACATAGAAGTCTCACCAGTCAATCAGCAATTAAAACAATTGGAGACAGAAAGAAATGGGGTTTAAAGTCCACTACACAAACTAAGTCAGACTAACATATGGTTCAATTTTATTTCAATAATTTGCTTTGAGTCTAGGGGTCTTTAGCTGTGGGAGGTAACCAGAGAACACCCATGAGGTTGGACAGCCCACCCTACTCCTTGTCAGTACAAATGGGGAATCAAAACCACGTCACTTGACTCAATCAATGACAGATTGTATGATCTAAAGCACAAACATTAAACCTTTGGACCACTATCCCCCCCCCCCCACCACCCAAAAACAACCCGAAAAATACAATCCATATTACCGTCTTAAAAACAAAGGAGAATATTTTTTTTTTTAATTTGTATCAACTGTTGAATGGCAAGATTGTTTTATTGTACAAATTTTATACATCAACTTGTTCATTATACAGTTTTTATGAAAATAGCACTTTTATCATATTAAGATAATTACATGAGTATCGATGCTGAGATGCTGAGGACCTTATACTGGACGTAAATTCCATATTGTGTTCAGAATCAGAAATATATTTTTCCCAAACTACACTTTCACTTGTGTATTAGACAGAGCTCTCATATCAAAAGTTTGACATGTTTTTATTGTTCCCAAACAATATGCAAATTATTAGCATTTTTTAAAATTTAATTGTATTTAAGATTAAATTCTTATAAATTTTAAATTTCATGTCATGTATATTGACTGACAGACACAGTCTCCAATCCATCAAAAGCCCAGGCCCTGAGTTCACAAAGTATTCTCAGACTTAAGTAAAGAATATACTCACAAATTGTTCACCTTATTTTAACTAAAATATGGCCCTTTCTAAAACTTTTGTTGTTGTAGTGTATCAAATACACCAATTAGAAACTATGTGAAAATTTTTGTTGTTCTGGATCAAAGATATTTCTCATAAACAACGATTGAAAGTTGTGTAAAGTCTTAACCTAAGTCTGAGAATGTTTTGTGAAACCAGTCCCTGGTTGAGTACCTATTGCTGTACAACTTCATGATAAACTAAAAGTGAAAAAAGCATTTGAACAAGTGGGTTGTATTAACCACCAGTAATCAATACAGTCTCAACCAGCTACATATAGGATATAATAATGATTTAAATATGGTTATGGAATGTATTATAAGAATGACAACAGTCCATAATTCATGGTGATATTAAAATGAAGAAAATCAGACATGAAAATGAATGAAAGAACACAATTGACTATTACAAAAACTTGCATTTTACATGGCAACAACAATTATAAAATGGCCATAATAACTTCTTATATATATATACAAACTTTACGAATATATGGGTTTTTTTTAGATAATATCCAAACAAAAGTCATGAAGAGTAGGCAGAATTGTAACTTTCCGGGCAAAATTCTCCGCACACTGCATGGTGTATGCCAGTCTTCATTACTTTGGTTGGTGCAGAAAAGTAGGACGTTAAACCCCATTTCATTTTAAAGTGAACTATGAAAAATCACACAAATAATGGGTTTCATAATTTTGTAATATTTCTTTAAAATTTAATAAAGTATTTGTGGAGAAGAGAGTTTAATCCCTGAAAGCATTCTATTCATTGAAATGACAACATATGACTTTTTTAAAATTGTGACATATCTTGTCTTTTTTTTATTAAGGAATATGAAGTTTTAGCAAGATCCATTTCAAATATTTATAATTATGTTTAAGTGATTTTACACTTAAAAGCTATAAATTTATCTAAATATATTGTGTTATAAGGTTAAATTCTTTGAAAGACTATTATTTGTCATGTAAACTGACTGAAAGGCAAGTTCTAATGTCAGTCAATTTCACTTTCAGTCAGCCAAGACCGGTAAATATGATTGAAACAATAGCTCTGGTTGGAGGTGTCTCTGCCTTGGATATTGTTTCAATGGAGCCCCATAGTTATTGTCTTAGCAGGGTCCCTGGTTATTGTTTCAATGGAGCCCTTGGTTATTGTCTCAGTGCAGATTTTGGTTATTGTTTGAATGTAGCCTCTTGGTTATTGTCTGAATGGAGTACCTTGATTATTCTCTCAATGTAGTCCTTGTTTATTGTCTCAATGGAGTATCTTGGATATTGTTTCAATGAAATCCTTGGTTATTGTCCCTGGGTATTGTCTAAATTGAGTCCCTGTGTATTGTTATCTTTATTGCATTTACAACTGAGTATCCAATGATGCAAGATAATAAGGGGGGGGGGCTGTAATCAAGCTATCAGCCATTTTTCTTTAATATTCAACTAAATGCGAGTCTTTTCGCTATTACTGTATCTCTAAGCTAAAATATTACAGAAATGATCTTAATTTCTCTCAAGTTGAGACCTTTTTGTTAATAATGATGAAAGTAACTGATTACATGAAAAAAGTCATGATTTATATATGGTAGTAATAATCACATGATTAATGATGACCTTCAACAAATAACATATCTTAAAAAAAAATATATTGATCATAAATTATAAGAAATTACATTACTTACAAAATGTATTTATACAAATTTACATCCAAAATATCAACAATAATAAGTTTATATATTTACAATGTCAGTATTTATAGACATAGATACAGTGAGACCCAGGGCTCACGCTGTCGGGCTCCAAAGTCGTAATTGCAACAAAAACATTCATTCAACTACAAACTTTTGATATTAAATAAATGTTAATGAAATTAATGCTAAATACGCAAGATTAAATGATACCTGGGTTACAGTGTAAGTTGTTGTATACTGTATACCAGTATTTGTTACATAATAGGTCCATCTTGTCTTTTTTAATCACAATTTTTGGAAGATAAAATATTTCAGTTGGCTTAAAAAAATATGAACATTTTTTTATCTAAAAATTCTTATCCATTTTTGCAGAAAAAAATTGAAAGTCGGTGTGAGCCCTGATCAGATCTCCCTATAATGAGCTTTAAAAAATGGGTACCGTAGTCTGTAGCCCTCTTTTTATATTGCGAACCTAGCTACAGATATGTCTATTAGTATCAAGACATCAGGTTCATTTGTTTCTTGTATTGGGGAGATCAAAATAAAGCTTTGTAATTCAAAAACAATACTCTATACACAGTGGGGACCCCAACAATTAGCATTATATCAAAGCATCAGTGTACATTTGGACGTCACTATAACATCGGTGTTGTTGTGAAGCCCTTATAATATTATATCAACTTTATAATAGCTATGGGTCTGTCTATAACATTAACAGCATAACAAAGCATCAGCGTATATAATATAAACAACATCACCATAACATCAGATCAGTGTTATAATCTTTTAGAGGCATCTAGTAAACTTAACACATACATATGGAAAATAGATACTAATATATTGGGGTTACGTTTCAAAGAGCATTCTCTCAACGTCGAAACATCGTCCAAATATATCAGTAGCTGTTTTCCATAAGTATGTATTATAGTTTATCAGTGTTTCAGTGACACCATTAAAACAGATGCTTGACATAACATCAACATAAGTATAATAATAATAATACTAGCATTATAGTGGTTGTAATATTCGTTAAAAATCTGAGAAGAAAATCACTGAAGATCGTTTGTTGACAAAATACACCAATAACATGGAGACCAATGTAAGAATCACACCTATTGATAGGGTCAACGTCTGAAAATAGAAATAATAATATAAAAGTCATTTAATATATAAATTAAAATACAACAATGATATGAAAGTTACATTAATATAAAAGTTACAAATAAAATAAAATGATATAGTACAGTTACAGATTTCAATGAGATAGCATCTTGATTCATCTACACCGATGTAGAAGAAACATTACGGATTTGTTCCCATAGTTTTGAAGAATTTTAAAACTATGGTAATTATCTATTTATAGCCATATGTGCAATGCTAAATTGATTTCCAACATGTCAAGTCTCAACAATAACCAAGACCACATATTGTCTTTGGTATTTTTAAATGAAACAGTCATTTTGTCACCTAAATTTGGCACGACAGTCATTGTATATAGAAAAAGAGTTTTTCACTTGAAGAATACGGTTATATATGTTTTGTATGTGCTAAACTTGTACGACTGTGACAAATTAACAAGTACATCATTAAGTGTAATAAAATGGGTGGAAGAATTCCTATTATAATGTAGACAAGATTGGATTTGAATGATCATACAGTTGAGGTAGGATGGATGGAAGCCATCCTCCAAAAATAATCCATATATTGTAATCCACAAGCAACTAACTTGACTGTATAGAAACTGGTATTTGAACCATTTCTTGTTAAGTTTGTGGTTTACAGATTACAATATATAGATTAATGTATGTACTAATAACTAAAACATGCAAATTACCAATACTTAAACACTTCATATCATAAACCAATAATACATAATAGCCATAACAAAGCAACAAAATAAAACAGAAATTTCTTGCCACCAATAACACAACATCTGACAACTAAATCATGCAATAAATCTACCATGCAAACAAAATATATTAACAGAGGTTATCAAAATTATCTATTCACAAATAGTAAAACAGATTTCAACAAAAATCAATTGTAAACCAAAAAAGTATTAACCTCTTAAACCTACATCAGGCCAAAAATAGTAAGTAAGAGAGAGAGAGAGAGAGAGAGAGAGAGAGAGAGGGAGGGTTTAACATCCATTCAGCACAAACTAGGTCATTTCAGGACTAACAAAAGGTACAAGTTATTTCATTAATTCGCTTGAGAGTAGGGGTCTCTAGCAGTGGGAGGAAATCAGGACCCAGAGAAAACCCACAAGGTTAGGCATGCAACCCTAGTGTGGAATCGAAACTATGCCACTTGACACAATGAAAGACTTTATGATCTAAAGTGAAACCTGATGGGCCTAGTTTAAATCTGAATGAATTCAAGATTATCTAGCTTTGGTATTTTGTTTTCTTAATTAAAAGTTAATTTCAAACTAATGCGTTAAGAAATTTGAAATTTTAACGAAAAATGAAAATGATGCATGGAGCATTTAACTGACCGATTGATAAAAGAGAGAGTGATAAATGGGGTTTAAAATCCACTCGACACAAACTAGGTCATTTCGGTACTAGATTGATAAAAGTGTTAATATGATATATCTGTGTAGTGTACAGCTTAATCTGTGTGTTAACAAGCGGTAATATAGGCGTGCAAAGAGAGGGGGTGGAAGGGGCAACAGCGTGCATGTTTCGCATTTATTTTGGGGGGTGGGGGCATCCAATCAAGGAGTCAAATTAACATTCAGTTTTTTTAAAGTTTTCAATCTTAACTTTGTTGCACAGGCTGCCTTGGGGCATAGCCAAACCTCTACATGACACTAGAGCCAGGCACAGAATCGTTTAAAGCAGGGGCGACTGTCAAAGTTTATTCCTATATTTTCTTTGAGTAAAGTTTCTAAATCGGGAGGAAAATGGAGGAACCAGAGAAATCTACTCATTGTCCCATACACGCTGCGAAATGAAACCGAGCCAGTTGACTGAATGACAGACCTTGTGATCTACAGCGAACAAATTAGACCATTTGGACACCCAAGCCCCCAGAATTCCGTAAAAAGACGATCAACTATTAAACTACTCTACTCAATCCAGCACCAACACCATTAAACCACAACTTTTATTACTACACACCTTCGTTTAATATTTATAATATTCAAGATGGTGGAGTATCACTGGCTGTGTTCGTACTTAGAAATATAATATCAGAACTGGCGTTAAAGAAATAAACAACGCCCAATGATACGATGAATAGTGCCAGACCAACACACAGCGTTAAAACCTGAAAACAAAGTATGATAGATTTTAAGGTGAGTTGATAGGCAACAGAATATGCACCTCACAACAGCTAAGTCATCCAAAGAGTCCATAAAGGTTGTTGCATTCTGAATCTTTAGGTAATTAAAATGCAAATTCTTTATACTGTAATGGCACACTGACAAGGTTCTATAATATAATCAAGGGCAATAACTCTATAAGTATTTATCAGAAATTGTTGAAATTGAAAGAGAGAACAATTATATATAAAAATAGGAACCACCATACATCACAATACTCAAAACATCTTCTGAGAAATGAGTAAAAATCTAAAAGTTCTAAAAGTAAAAACTATAAAATCTTGGAATACATTAATACATTTATTGAAGAAAAGAGGGAATCTTATCTAAAAAGATTAAAAGTGAAAAAACAAAACTCATATAATGAAAAACTTAGCAAATCATATCCACCGTCAAGATTTGTGGTTGCCAGCCATTCCCTTCATTCAGATGGTAAATTCCGTCAACCAGTCGCAATACTCACTAATTCTCTAGTCGTTCGGATAGGACAAAATACTGGTCCCACGTACACACTGACATTCACATAAAAGAACCTTTGATGGTTGGAATTCAGTATAAGAGTAGGCCGTAGTATCATTGTCCAGACAAAATTCCCCTTATACCACACTGCATGGGATATTCTCACTGTTCAGACAACCGAGTAGTCTACGACCGACCGTCAAGAGAAAGAGAGAGAGAGAGAAGTAGGTCATTTCGGGACTAACATATCTTCATTAGCCCAGTTCGGAGCAAAACAGTAGGACGTTAAATCCCATTTCATTTCATTTCATATTTCAATAAGCGTATGGATCTTTAGCAGTGGGAGGAAACCGACGGACCCGGAGAAAACCCACGAGGTTGGACAAGCGACCCTACTCCTTGTCACGTACAACCGGGGAATCGAAACCATGCCAGTCGACTCATTGACAAACCTTATGATACAGCGCGCATGTGCTAACCATTCGGCCATCCACCCCCCCCTTAAAGCGTCAAGTCTACCATTTTTTTTTAGCAAACAACAGTTTTAGCAACACAAAATGAATCCTGACAGTGGATATGGTTGATTTCATGAACTGTAACAAAAAAAAATCTACGAAAAATTTAATGTAAAAAAAGGAGATAGGCAATCCATTGTAAAGTACTACAGAACAATTCAATTTAAGGAGTATTCGCCTTATAAACGATGATATTATTATTACTACTGTCATTTTCACATAATCGCCTGGGTATTCCGAGTAAAATAGAAAATGGCGTAATCTGCTGTTCATTGTGCGAACCGATAAAAGTCAAAGTACAGGAATAAAATTAGCTACGATCCATTCAAAGAACCAGAAATAAAGACTGATAAAGATCTTATATGATTAGCATATAAACTGGAAACTATTGGAATTTTGAGTCTCGTGAAACTAAAATAAAAATTAAAATTGGTACACAGTATTTGTAATGTTGTTTATTACAAAGGTATATTTTGTGGCATAATCAGCCATGCTCTTCATTTCGCATTAAATGCTTTTGAAGTGAACAGTCAAAAAGATAGTCAGTCACAAAAATTGTCAATTCAATAGTTTCAGATTATATTGGCAATTCTAAATTGAACCCTGCTACAGAAGTGTATTTTTGCTTTTAGAAAAAAATATTTTTTTAACGCCAACGAACCAGAAATAAATTAACACAAGGTACAATTTTACAGATATACAATTACTGAGTTTATTACTATGCGACGTTTCGATGTGGAAATGATACAAATATGTGAATAGTAGACAACTATTTACACAATATGCAACAAAAATAACAATGAAATACAGTTAAAACATACCATAACACGTGAAATCGAAACATGGCATAGTATTAAACTCAGTAATTGTGTATCCATATAATTCTACCTTGCGTTAATATGTTCAATTACTAAATGTCTATCAAAGAAGTTAGAAATAAATTATCTTATACTATACCTCTTGTGATTCACTTGGTATTAAAAATGCTCGAACTTTAGTTACTGTCCACGTGCTCTCTGTCCATGTTGAATATTCTCCAGATAGCCAATCATAATCTACAATACATACACAGCCAATCAGAGAGCAATTTATATTCGTATATGAACTCTAAATCTATGAGAAAACCAGATAGATGGGTATCTTATCTAATAAATGGGATGCTCTATTTTCAGCTCGTAACATTCTAAATTAGTAGAATTGCAACCAGGGTGTGTCATAAAAAAAACATTTCTTGAAATGAACATAGCAATGTTTTAGTTTGAAATGAAATGGTGTCAGGAGGGAAATTTTGCAAGGACCGCAGCGATACAGCCTACTTTTATTTTGAATTCCAACTGTCAATGTGTACAACGAATCAATGGTTTCTGTAATATGTGAACGACCAGACACTGTTCCTGCACCACTGACAAGGAGGAAACTTTATTGGGAAATCCTCAGCCAACACCAGGATCAAACCCCAGTCCTCCTGATTTGTGTGTCAGCGCCTTAATCACAGAATCACTGTTGCAGTACCCTGTTTTAGTTTGACTCCAAGAGGAAGAATTCGATGAAAGATGTTGATACGAGAAGAATAACTTTATGGATTTATTACTTTTAAAGTTGTGTGTATTATAAAGTTATATCCCTAAATGTCATTCAAGGATATAAAGAATAAAAATATTTACCATCAATTTCAAAAGCTGGTGATTTGGCTTTCTGTAACATAGCTGTAGATTTTATACACCAACCCTCTCTTGTATTAGTACCAGGTTTCACTGATCCTTGCATCCATAAATACTTATATCTCTGTCAATATAACAACCAAATATCACAATACAGACAGAAATATTTATATATCTGTATAAAAACAACAACAGAAATATACCCTTCAAAAAAAGTAGGGGATACTGAAATGCAAATACCTATGCAGGTTGTGATATGATAAATAGTCATGGACACTTGACATGCTTTGAGATTATGTTCACAGATGAAGAACTTATCGCCCCAACTGAACCACTGAGCTGCACATACGACACGCAATAGTGCCAAAAACGTGGGAGGGGTTCATTGTCAAATTTGACACTTCAAGGAAGGGTTGATGAAAACTGCTGCATACTGGTTTATCTATCCATGTTAGCATTCCTATCAGTTCTTGCATAAGATTTACTGTTTAGTGTATCTTTGCTTTTGTGTGTTATGTTTATTTTCATCGAGAGATGTGTTCGTCGACGTCAACATCAACTGACAACACTGCAAGAATTGGCCTTTGCACTGCAAGGGAGTGGGCCAGATAGCCCCAAATCGTGATTGGACAGTTGATTAGGAGCATGCCACAACGAATTGCTGAATGTCTGAGGATTGGTGAGGCAATAACTCATTATTAAGACAAAAATCAAAAACGTCCATTTTCACTTTTGACGGTCTATCTCTTTGCGGGTGAAATGAGGCCGTCACATAAGCCGCCCATATGAACTGTTTATGTTCATGTGTAGGCAATAATATTGGCCTGTTATTAACATACACTGGTATACCTCTAATAAAAACAGCAGTGCATTTCCGCAGTTTTGTATTGTTTCTGAATATCCCCGACTTTTTTTGAAGAGTAGAGTAAGATACAAACATTGAATTCCTTGTAAACTTATATAAGGAGAATGTTAAATCTCTAAAAGGGAGTTCAGTCCAAAATTGCTTTAATTCTGTTTAACTGAAAATTTTGCGGCAACCTTTTGTAGACAATATAAACAAGCCAGCACTACATACCGTGGACTCTGTTACATCCAACATTCGAATACTGCGACATTCTGTGAAATCCCACATCATTTTCATGTCCCAACTTATTTCCTAATTACTTCACCCAAAAACTGCTTTGAGTAATCCGTATTCTGAATATTCCTAATTACGACATCAATCAGCCGTCCCGTCACACGATTTCTATTGAATCAATCGGTGGGTGTGAAGCCCCAAATGATTAACAAGCTATCCCCAATCAATTATCAGTGAGATTAAAACTCGCTCGCGTAGGTCTTTGTTGATTACTTTGATAATTTTATAATCTCTTGTAAGACAGTTGTGACAAATACTCAAGAATACCCATGAATTTTCTACGAATTCAGTCATAAAAATATTCCTAGCACCTGTTGGAAACATTCGTTGCGCATTTTGATTGAACCTGAATACCTAAGTTTGTTCACCCTACGGATCTCTTCGAACCGTGTGACGACAACCTGGACATAGAATGACAGATTATCAATGAACACTTGACAGCAAAGACAAGTGTGCAATCAACTGAAGAAGATGAAGAAGATAAATTAACAACAGACTTGACCTATTCAAAATGCCTACGCATGTTAAATGAAATAAAAATTAATGTAATAAAATTTTGAATGTACAGAAAGGTTTATCATTTTTAAAGGGAATAATGTTCTTGGGATTCAAAGCTACATTATAATAATAATTCCGGTTTTCGAAGTTGCAATAATACTTCCGGTTTTGAGAAAACTGGGTATTCCGACACTCAGCATAATCCGACATATTGTAACAATCCCGTACGATGTCGTATTTGACACTAGTCCACTGTATGAGCATAACAATCCCGTACGATGTCGTATTTGACACTAGTCCACTGTATGAGCATAACATTGTTAGATATGTTATAGAGAAACTATTATACCAACCTTATCATTATCTGGCTGTTTACAATCTGTGTCCTTAGTAACATTGACCATTCTATCACCCAAATATTGAGCTAAGATAGCATGGGCTAATCTTGTTATCTGATTGGTCTGATAATCTACACCCACATAAAATGGAAACGGTTTCTTAGCAGATGCTGAAATTACAACATTATTATCTCTTTTAGTCATACAAAATGCCATGGGTAAGATGTCCATTGTGGATAATATACGTCATGTAGTTTAGGTTATGTCCCTATAATATCTTCTACATTTTACTGTCCATTCAGATTACCATGGTTTTGAATATGAAATGAAATAGAGTTTAACATCCTACTGTTCTGCTCAAAACTGGGCACTGGGCTAATAAAGACGGGCATACACCATACAGTGTGCTATGAGGGAAATTTTGCCCGGACAGCGCCACTACGGCCTACTCTTATATCGATTTCCAACTGTCAAGGGATCTTTATTCATATTGTAAGTCTTTATTTATATATTGTAAGTCTTTATTCATATATTGTATGACTTAATCCATATATTGTATGTCTTTTTTCAAATATTGTAAGACTTTTTCAACCATTTATTCATATATTGTAAGTCTTTATTCAAATATTGTAAGGCTTTATTTATATATTGTAAGGCTTTATTCAAATATTTTACGTCTTTTATTCAAGTTCTGTATGTCTTTATTCATATATTGTATGTCTTTATTCATATATTGTATGTCTTTATTCATATACCAATAGGACTTATTCACATAATTATTGTATATCTTTATTCATATATTGTAAGGCTTTATTCAAACACCTATTCATATATTGGAAGTCTTTATTCATATACTGTAGGGCTTTTTTCATATACTGTAGGGCTTTTTTTCATATTTTGCAAGTCCTTATTCATATATGAGAAGTCTTTTTTCAAATATTGGAAGTCATTATTCAAATATTGTAAGTCCTTATTCGAATGCTATTCAATTGAAATTATTAATATTTGGGAAATTTTGCCCGGACAGCGCCACTACGGCCTACTCTTATATCGATTTCCAACTGTCAAGGGATCTTTTACATGCACGCTAATGTGTGTTTTGAATATGAAATCAAACGAAATGAAATGGGGTTTAACATTCTACTGTTCTGCTCTGACGAAATATCTTGAACATGATTCGTAAAAACTGAAGATTACAAGCCTGAACCATACAAGGATAATGAGATATTAAGACATCATACGAAACATATGACAATTCAAGAGAGAGAGATGGGATTGAACCACATGCAATATAAACTAGGCCCTGAGTTCACAAAGCATTCTCAGACTTCAGTTGAGAATTTACTCAAACTTGTTCACCTTATTTTAACTAAAATATAGCCCTTTATAATAATTTTGTTGTTTGAATGTATGAGATACATCAATAAGAAACTATGTGCAAAGTTTTGTGTTTCTGAATCAAAGATATTTCTCATTAACAGTGATTGAAAGTTGAGCAAATTCTCAACTTAAGTCTGAGAATGCTTTGTGAACACGGGACTAGGTCATTTTGATACTAACATTAGGTTCAATTTTATTTCAATAATTCACTTGCAAGTAGGGGTCTTTAGCTGTGGGAGGAAACCAGAGGACCTGGAGAAGAGAGAGAGAGAGAAATGGGGTTTAACGTCCACGCGACACAAACTAGGTCATTTCGGGACTAACATATGGTTTAATTTTATTTCAATAATTTGCTTGCACGTAGGGGTCTTTAGCAGTGGGAGGAAACCGGAGGACCCAGAGAAAACCCACGAGGTTGGACAGGCGACCCTACTCCTTGTCACGTACAACTGGGGATTCGAAATCACGCCAGTCGACTCAATGACAGACTTTATGATACAGCGCGCGCACGCTAACCATTCAGCCATCCAACCCCCCGGACCTGGAGAAAACCTATAACCTGTGATAGAAAAGGCTACTCCTTGTCATGTACAAGAGTGGGATTGGAACTCTGCCACTTGACACGATAATCTAAGGTGCAGACTTAAGACCACTTGACCACCCCATATCACAATATAAGTAGTGTATAAGTATCTCTATATTTACCTAAATTATCTTTATCTTCCGGTGAAACACTTTGTTTAAATAATTCACACACAGGACTCTCTAGAAAACAATACAACAGATGGGCAATCTGAAATAGAATTATTGATGTTAAAAATAGAGACACCCCTGTAGGTCTTTATTTATACATTATGAATCTTTATTGTAAGGCTTTGATAATATATTGTAAGGCTTTTTTTCATATATTGTAAGTCCTTATTCATATATTATAAGTCTTTATTCATATACTGTAAATATATATTCATAAATTGGAAGTCTTTATTCATATATCGTCAGGCTTTATTCATATATTGTAAGTCTTTATTTATATATTGTAAGTCTTTATTCATATATTGTATGTCTTAATCCATATATTGTATGTCTTTATTCAAATATTGTAAGACTTTTTCAACCATTTATTCATATATTGTAAGTCTTTATTCAAATATTGTAAGGCTTTATTTATATATTGTAAGGCTTTATTCAAATATTTTACGTCTTTTATTCAAGTACTGTATGTCTTTATTCACATATTGTATGTCTTTATTCATATATTGTATGTCTTTATTCATATACCAATAGGAAATGAAATGAAATGGAGTTTAACGTCCTACTGTTCTGCTCCTAACCTGGGCTAATGAAGACGGGCATACGCCATACAGTGTGCTATGAGGGAAATTTTGCCCGGACAGCGGCACTACGGCCTACTCTTATATCGAATTCCAACTGCCAAGGGATCTTTTACGTGCACGCCAATGTGTACACGGGACCGCGGTTTTTCATCCCATCCGAACGACTAGACAGCTTTCCTTGTCAGTCCCTCCGCCCTGCATCACTGACAAGGGAGAACCACGCCGGAAAATCTGGATGAACTTTCTCGGCCAATGCAGGGATCGAACACCCGACCTCCAGGCTAGCGAGCTAGCGTCTTACCCACTTAGCCACGTGATCCCCTATACCAATAGGACTTATTCACATAATTATTGTATATCTTTATTCATATATTGTAAGGCTTTATTCAAACACCTATTCATATATTGGAAGTCTTTTTTCATATACTGTAGGGCTTTTTTTCATATATTGTAAGTCCTTATTCATATATGAGAAGTCTTTTTTCAAATATTGGAAGTCATTATTCAAATATTGTAAGTCCTTATTCGAATGCTATTCAATTGAAATTATTAATATTTGGACTGCCACACTCTGTGATCAGACTTGTATTCTCATGGCAAAAGTCAATTGTTGATAAATAAACAACTTGACAGTGTCGATAAATAAACAACCTGACAGTCGATAAATAAACAACCTGACAGTGTCAAACACTAACTGGAGAATTTATGTATCGTTAAATTAGAATTTCAGTTATATTTACAGTGTTTATGTATCAAAACACTAAAAAATATATTCAAAATGTTAGATGATGCTAAACATTCTCATATTCTTTGGATTAAATATCAAAGTGATCTGAGAGAAACAAAATACGTCAACATTTGACACAGGTGTCATATAGTTGTGCTGTTTTAGCAGGAGTTTCTGTAGTAAATGTTTAATATCAAACAATTGTTAGAATTGTTAAAATTCGTTGAGAATCATCAAAAAATATTGTGTTCCTATTGTCACATAGTTTGAAATGGTCCATCAAGATAAGATAATAAGTGTTGGATTTCCAACTGTTTAATTTCCCGAGCGGAGTTGAGCAGTTAACCGACTAATTAATTATACAGTACAACTACACAATATCTGAGTTGTAATATGACTGACTGTTATTATTACAAACCTCTTTTTCATCAGCTTGTATTTTATTCTCTAGATCAGGTGTTAATTGTTTACCAGTTGTTTGTGTATACAGAAATCGAGCTAGAGTCGTTGCTATGTTAGTTAATAATACAGCTTGTTCCGTGATGTAATCATACTTCTCTGTATCATTTAATGTGTCTGGATAATCAGCATTAATCTCTCTGGGTAGATCAAATCTACTATTATAATACCTACAAATAAATGAAATGGGGTTTAACATCCTACTGTTCTGCTCTGACTGGGCTAATGAAGATGGACATATGCCATACAGAGTGCTAAGAGGGAAATACTGCCCGCACAGCAGCTCTATGGGCCATGGCATACTCTTATATCGAATTTTAACTGTCAAATGATCTTTTACATACATCCCATTGTATACATGGGATCTCTGTTTTTCGTCCCATCCAAATGACTATATGTTGTGTCGTCCCTTGTACTGCACCTGACAATGGGGAACCACACCGGAAAATCATGAATCATGACGAACTTTCTCGGCCAACACTATAGAGCCAATGTCTTACTCACTGAGCCACCGTGGCTCCACCTATGAATAAGGAAGTTATATAGTTTAACAACATACGATGTCAAAGTCATTTTCAGACATGTCAATGCAATTTGACACAGTGGTTCAGTGAATAAGGCGCTGGCTCACTAATCATTTTTCTGTGTATCATCCCTTTGCCAGTGGTCCAGGATGGAGGGCCTGGTTAAGAAAGCACTTAGTCGTTTAGTACACCATCAGTATGTTAAAAGATCTTTTATAAAAGTATTTTGATCAAAAAATTTAAATACATATATTTCACTTTGTGTGAACAAGTAAATAGAGTTGGGCAAACCTAAACCTAAAATTTTAAGTATAATGTATATCATTAATACCAGTGAGAGATAGAGAGAAATGGGGTTTAACGTCCACTCGACACAAACTAGGTCATTTCGGGACTAACATATGGTTCAATTATATTTCCATAATTCGCTTGCGCATAGGGGCTTTAGCAGTGGGAGGAAACCGGAGGACCCAGAGAAAACCCATGAGGTTGGACAGCCGACCCTACTCCTTGTCACGTACAACCGGGATATCGAAACCACGCCAATTGATTCAATGACAGACCTTATGGTACAGCGCGCACGAATACCAGTGAGAAAGATTGTTTACAAAGCTTACTTGTTAGTATATTGTTTCTCATGGTCTGTAATTACAATTGATGGAATAGCCATCTTTCTAAGAAATCTCTGTACAGAAGCTGGTGGTAATGGCTGATCAGCTGCTGTTTCACCCAGACTAACATTTAACTTTTCTCCTATAGGTTTAATTATATCTATTAACTTTTTAACCTGAAATAAAACAATAAGTTTAATTTTATTCAACATTTCAACCTGTAAAATACAATTAGTGTGATTTTATCTATCTATCAACATTTCAACATGCAAATCTGTGAAAACAATAAATTCATTTATAAAACTTGTAGAAATGAAATGAAATGAAATGAAATGGGGTTTAACGTCCTACTGTTTTGCTCCGAACTGGGCTAATGAAGACGGGCATAAGCCATACAGTGTGCTATGAGGGACATTTTGCCCCGACAGAGGCACTACAGCCTACTCTTATATCGAATTCCAACTGCCAAGGGATCTTTTATGTGCACGCCAATGTGTACACGGGACCTCGGTTTTTCGTCCCATCCGAACGACTAGACAGCTTTCCTTGTCAGCCCCTCCGTCCTGCATCACTGACAAGGGAGAACCACGCCAGAAAATCTGGATGAACTTTCTCGGCCAATGCAGGGATCGAACATTCGACCTGCAGGCTAGCGAGCCAGCGTCTTACCCATTTATAAAACTTGTAGAAACAATAAATTTAATTTTGATCAACTTTCAGTAAAATTTTACACAAGCATTTAAGGTTGCAGGTCAAATGGCAAAATAAAGGTTAAATATTGAGTTTTAGCCAATGCACAATAATAATAATTGTCCATTTCTTGAGAGACAAATCCATCCATAAGCGCTTTTAAGAGCAATAAACTATATACATGTCTATTCAAAAATTTAGTCAACAGAAGATTGTATGAACAAGTGAGTTTTTAATTAGGATTTGAAACTTGTAAGAGTTTTTAGTAAACAAAAACATATTGGTCCAAAGGTAATGCAAATTGATTAGTTTTAAATAAAGATACAAGGTATGGTGAGTTTTAGTATATATTGGTTTCTGTTAAATTAATGGTTTCTATTTCACGTATATAATAATGGATACAAGAAGAGGAATGGCAACACTCCCTTGAAAGAGTAGCAAAGGCTTGACGATCTGCGTAGTTGCTGGATCAAACAATAATACCGGCGGAGCAAGAGAGTATAAATAGATATTTAATAATCCCAGCGCAACAGCAGCACAAATCAGATTTAGGTAGAAGTTAAAGGTGGTTTAATGAACATCATAATGTTTTGTGTGTTGATATTGAAACATTATGATTTTTATCAATCATTTAACAACGGTATTGATACCTGAAAAGTATAAGGATTACCTCATCTGAAATTGCTGGATTTTCTTTAGATATTGGATCTGAATGAATCCACAATTGGCCTTGATCACGATGTCCGAGTTGACTAAGTTCTATAAAATGTGATATATGATTAAGATGGATGTTCTGTATTCGAAGAGACTTGTTATCTGTTATATCATACGGGAAATGATTTAACTCCATGTCATATACCATTCGACTTGATCCAATATAATCAAACGCTTCCTGTAATTAGAAATAGAATCTCTTATACACACACTGCAGGCAAAGATGTCTGTGCTAGCTCCAAAAACAATGTCAACAAATCAGGGCTATTGTTTCTGCCTTAATGACCAGTTTTGACTGGCAGTGAAATTGACCAGCTGGGGAACCTACCTATTGGTCAAATTACAGGAAATGAAATGAAATGGGGTTCTGCTCTGGCTGGGCTAATGAGGACGGGCATACACTGGTGTGCTATGAGGGAAATTTTGCCTGGACAGCATCACTATGACCTACTCGTATATCAAATTACAACTGCCAAGGGATCTTTTACTTGTACGCCAATGTTTACATAGAACCCTAGTTTTTCAACAATGACAAGGGGGAACCACACCGGAAAATCCAGATGAATTTTCTCGTGCAACTTTCTCGGATCGGACATCCAAGTTAGCGAGCCAACGTGTTACTCACTGAAGTGAAAGGCATGTAACAAATCATGTTGAACACAGTTTAACAAGCCAACACATCTATTTTACTGAAATGAACTGAAAAAGAAACACCCTACTATACAGCATCATTTGGGCCATGCACCATACTAACTATATAATGGAAATTTTGCCTGGATAGCAGCTTTTTGGTTATCCTTTGTTAAAATTCCAAATGACAAGGGTTCTTTACATGCACGGCAAGAATATTTTTTTTATGTATGGCCTAAGTAGAATTTCTGAAAAATCTGAATTTTAAAAAAAAATGTTTCTTTTCTTACCCCTTGAAAGAATGTAAACATAAGATCTGAGCTTGCTGCACGTAAATCATCTTTAACTTGTTTTAGAGCATGAGCTGCTGCCAGTAGAGCTACAATACCAGTCACAGTTGTATCAGAATTCTGATACTCATAACCAAACATAGAAAATGAATCCATCTGAAATGGGGTAAAAAAAAAACAATTTTATTACAGTTACAGAGAGAGAGAGAGAGAAATGGAGATTAACATACACAAACTAGGTCATTTTGGGACTCACATATGGTTCAATTATATTTCAATAAATCTATTGCGTGTAGGGGTCTTTAGTCGTGGGGGAAATCCGGAGAAAACCCACGAGGTTGAATTTATCAGGTAACATCACAACAGATATGTTCTTAAAAATTTTCAGGACTTACATTATAGGAAACCAATATAATATCTAGTTCTTAATAAATGATATATGATGGGGTTTAATATCCTACTGTTCTACTCTGACTGGGCTAATGAAGATGGACATACACCATACAGTGTACTATGAGGTGAAATTTTGCCTGAACAGTGGCAATACAGTCTACTGTTACATCGAATTCCAACTACCAAGGGATCTTTTACATGCATGCCAATGTATACATGGGACCCCGTTTTTTTGACCCATCCAAATGACTAAGTTGTCCCTAACCAGGCCCTCGGTCCTGCCCAAGTGACATGGGGAACCGCATCTGAATATCCAGATGAACTTTCTCGGCCAACACAGGGAACCAACGTGGGACCTCTAGGTTACCGAGACCAACGTCTCACTAACTCAGACAATGTGGCTTAAATAGATGTTTTGTCAGATATTTTAAAACTTATATATTTCAAACTAAAAGCTATCGAGATGAGTAACCAAGTATTTTATATTTTTAATTAGTTTCTTTTCTCCAGGAAATAGGTAACAATATTTTAATATATGTCCCCAAAGAACAATAATTGTGTGGCCTTTGGTCAAAATTTAAAAATTGGACAAAATTATTGTAAAGTAGCAGTAATATCTAAAATCTTTTCATATTCTAAGCTAAACAATGGATAAAAAATGAAATGGGGGTTTAACATCCTACTTGCCTGTGCCAACCGGGTAAATGAAGACTGGCATACATCCTGCAGTGTTCTATGAGGGAAATTTAGCCCAGATAGCTGTGTTTCCAGTGGTGGAAGGAAACCAGAGGAAATCCCAGAGTTGGACAGGCGCCCCTACTCCTTGTCACTTAAAAGCTTGGGATTGAAACCATGTCTGTTAGATCACTCAACTACCCGCCACTAATTAAACATGCATTATGCAAGAGGTTAGAGCTAAATCAGGCTATTGAAGGTCTCTCTTTTGGCGTTAAATGTTGGATGTGGTTACCGCGTAAAAATGGATAATCAAGACTTTGTTTATTATCATAACAAAGATAATAATGACAATCAAGGCTAGCCTATAATTGTATCATCGATATATCTAGGCTCAGAGTGAAGTAATTTGACTGAAATTTTCAGCATATTCTCTGTTCATTATCTATTTCTAAACTATTATAGCGAGAACTGTCAGCTCTTTATCTAATCTTACCTACTACCACATTAATAATTAACAACAATAAAAATTCTTGAAAATCTTATATATACCTACCCTAGTTGCCACGACAATAACCGATTTAGCTGGCCGAGTTTCATTTTGAGGTATAGCCTTCATGGTGGAGATTAAATTCTTATCGCCCATAGCGTCACAATATTTGGTCGGATTTAAATTGGTAATAAGTTCCGATCTACGAATACATGTAATAGAATCTTTCGCAGCATCCATACTGTCACTAAGTTCCACAGCACAGATGGGATACGTTTTAGCCACACCATTACTGGGTTGGTTAAATGGGCGATAACACTGGAATGACAACAAAATAAAAATTGTTTCAATGGCATTTAGTAATTGAAATGGATTATACCGGTCACTATGGAAGACAATTTATTTTACTTCTTATTACTGAGCAATGATGATAAAGATTAAGAAGCCTAGTCGAAACATCGCTCTGTATTATAATAAGCAGTGAAGTTGTAATCCATAGTGACCTGTATATAACAAAATAAAAATCAACGATTCTACAATTTTATTTTCTATCGTACACACTCTTCAGTATGTGGTTCTCGCTCTGATGACATCATGGTTTCTGTTTTATGTTGAAATTACAAGAAGTCCTCGACCACTCCTGTCCACATGGTATTAGGACAAAAAGCAATTCTAAAAATTCGCTCATACTGACCCAAGAACCTATTCAGAGAATTTTGTCAGAAACACCATCAACAAGACCCTGTCGACAACCACAGCTAAACATGGAACCAGACTGACTCGGTTAGAATCTTTCTTCATTTCAACAGCAAAATCTCATACCAATTCAAAAGACTACTACTGCAACAAGCAGAAATAGATGTTTAACATCCACTCGACACAAACTAGGTCATTTCAGGACTAACAAATGGTTTGGTTTTTTTTTCAATAATAGGGGTCTTTAGTTGTGGAAAGAACTGGAGAACCAAGAGAAAACCCATGTACAAAGCAGAGAATTGACTCAATAACACACCTTATCATCAAAAGCGCATGCATTAATCCATTCGGCCACGCAACCCCCTTAATTAAATTCGCTACATGAATAAACAGAGACTTACCTGATCAATTAAGATATTCAAATCTGATATATTTGAGATGGCGAACATGGGAAAATCATGGTAGTCCGTAAAATATAACGCTTCACCTGGTTTGTTCCACTTCACACTTTTACAATGTTTATACGAGTCATTTTTATAATATGCTCCTATAATACAAACAAATTACAATTCTTATAATATGCTCCCTTAATACAAACAAATTACAATTCTTATAATATTATGCTCCCTTAATACAAACAAATTACAATTTTTATAATTGGCTCATATAATACAAACATATCACAATGTTTATACAAGTCATTTCTATAATAGGCTCTTATAATATAAACATATTACAATGTTTGTACAAGTCATTTCTATAATATGCTCCTATAATACGAACTTATTATAATGTGTCATTTTTATATTGACGCCTTTTGAACTATTTTGTCTCAAGAGATTTAACGTTAAAATGCAGTGCGAAACAGTTTTAATAAATATTTGCTAATCAAATTAAATTTAAGGTGCAGTAACAATCTATCATGAATACTCAATATTAATTAAATGGAAGTTTACTTTTTTATTTACCACAATAGTCCATTTACAGTACAGTAGCTACAGGATTATCAAATTTTCGTGGTTATTGTCAGTTTGCAAAATATTACTCTTTTTTTTTTATTCATATTTTGCGCACAACTCGCAAGTTGCTGATGCCACATGAGCATTGTTATTTAGCATTGAAAATTATGATCAGACTAAGCAATAAAGAGAAGAGTGAAGACACACGGCATAGTAGTTATGTTTTCCAAACGCATGACCAATATTTCCATGCATTTATTATATCTTTATAAGCGTGACTGAAAAAAGGCAGACTCCGGAAATGAACGCTGTGTTGTAAAACGTAGAATAGAAAGGAGATGTTCACGTTTTCAGAGTAACAGTGAAAGGTTTTCTTATTGCCAATAGAATTTTAAGCCACTAATTGTTGAAATATAAGATACTATATCTGATAAAAATGATTCACAAATTTATAGATTCTCAAGTAAAGTTTCGCTAATCAAATGACTCACAGTAACATCGGAAATGGAGCACAAAATCCGATGTAAACCCTGTTATTTTATTCCCTGAGCTTTAGATGAACAAATATAAAAGATACGTACCATAATTATCATTAGGACAATCTTTATCTGCTGAAAATCCATTAGGTGGTAACGGGGTCAAAGTTGAATTATTTAAAACATTTACAAGCAATATACCATTGACACGACCTGACTTTAATAACTGTTGAACTTTCTCTCTGTATAAAAATAATATGATAAAACTGTCTTACTATCTGCAGGGGTTTGGGCGGCTGAATGGTTTAATGTGTGCATGTTAGATCATAAGGGCCGCCATTGAGTCAAGAGGCATGGTTTTGATTCCCAGCTTGTACATGACAAGGAATAGGGCTGCCTGTCCAACTGCATGTTTTTTTTTGGGGGGGGGGGGGTCTGGTTTTCTCCCACAGCTAAAGACACTCTACACGACACACGTGCATCAAATTAATGAAATAAAATTAAACCATGTTAGTCCCAAAATGACTTGGTTTGCGTTGAATGGATGTTAAACTTGCATATCTATCGCTCTCTCTATCTCTATTGGTATACATTATGCAGTGTGCTATGAGGAAAACTTTGACTAGATAGCAGAAATGAAGTGAAATTGGGTTTAATGTTCTACTCGGTTTAGCTCTGACTGGGCTAATTTAAATGGACATATGCCATACAGTGTTATATGATGGAAAATTTGATCAGACAGCGTCACTCAGTCTACTCTTATATCAAATTCCAACTGTCAAGGGATCTTTTACGAACTAGATAGCGATGTTTTCAACTGCTCTTCATGGAATTCAAACTGTGTTTCATCCAAAATGTTTTCATATTCTTAAACAGAGTAAAATGAATAAAATGGGGTTTTAACATTCTACTGATCTACATCAAGCAGGCTAATGAAGATGGGCATAAGCCATGCATTGTGCTACGACGACGTAACTTTGCCTGGGCAGTGTCAGTTTACGACTACTCTACATCAAATTGAAACAGTCACAGGTCTTTTGCATTTTACATAAACAAGTACATGAGTGAATTTTGCCTGAGCAGCGTCGTATTTATGACTACTCTTCATCAAATTGAAACTGTTATGGGTCTTTAGCATTTTAGACAAACAAGTACATGGGTGAATTTTGCCTGAGCAGCGCTGCGTTTACCACTTTTGTTCATCAAAATGAAACTGTCATGGGTTTTTAGCATTATACACAAACAAGTACATGGGTGGACAAGAGTTATTTGGGGGTCCAAACTTTAATTGCCAGTTGGCCATCTATTCTGCAATCAGATCGGATGATCATTTTTGTCAACAGGGCATTCATAAGATTTAATAAAGTGATTAAAGGAAATAACTCTGAAAGTCATTATCAAAAATTCTCTTTCTCAAATATTTATTCGACAAATACGAGGCCTGTTCATACCTAAAATACCAGTAGATAGAAATTTTTAAGGATTTAAGGAAGAGGCTTGATAAATACAAGCCCTAGTATTACCTATGGAAGTCTTCAGAATTCATCAAAACAACGTAAGGTGTATGTGGTCCATCTTTTAAAACCCAATCATAATCATCTTGTCCTTCTAGATAGTGTAAAACACCAACATTACCACCAGACTTGGCTAAAATACAACATATTAAGATCATATTATCAATCACAACACTATATAGATTAACTACTTCTCTGTTATTTCTTATTTTTTAAATTCTATGTCTTTAAAACTTTTTATTTATTTAAAGATATACATGACATATACTTACACAGAAATTTAGAAAAACAGTAATTAATAATTAATTACACAAAATATTCTTTTAAAAAATACATAATTACACAGTATATTCTAGTTAATTTATAACATGCAGATCAGAGTATATATGTCCTGTACTTTGATCAGGGAGAATTGTTTTCAGTTGTACCTTTATAAGTAAATTTTATATTTCCATTTGTCTAAATTTAAAGTTTTCATGGACAGTGGCACTAAGAGCCTACTCATTTATCAAATTCCAACTGCTAAAGGATCTTTTATGTGGGCGCCAACGTGTACACAGGACCTCGATTTTTCTTCCCATCTGAATGACTAGGCCGTTGTCATCAGGCCCTCTGTCCTGCACAACTGTCAAGGGGAAGCCACGCCAGAAAATCCAGTTGAACCTTCTTGGCCAACACCGGGAGCGAACCCGCGACCTCCAGGCTAGCATATTATTAATACACTGAAAATAATATAGGGTTTAACACAGGCATATGCCATATGGTGTGCTATGCGGGAATTTTGTCAGGACAGCAGTACTACGGTCCACTCTTCTGTAGAATTTCAACCTTCAAGGGTACTTTTTATGTGTACAAGGGACCTTGGTTTTTTATCCAATCTGAACGACTGTACATTGTCCATTGTCAGGCCCTCTGGGTCCTGCACCACTGAGAATGGGGAATTACACCGGAAAATTCAGATGAACTTTCTCGTTTAACACAGGGATCAACCATGGAACCTCCAGTCCTCCAGGTTAGCGAGCTACATGTAACTTTTTAGTCATTGAGCCACAATGGCTAAAAAAAAAACTTACAAGAACATCCAACTTGATGAGTTGCGTTCAGTACACGGAAGCAGGCATTCTGGGTCACAAGATCAAGGTAGATCTTTTTCTTTGTTCTAACACATTCCACTGAAAAATTAAAACACGCATTCAATACACAAAACAACAAATAATTCTGGGAGATAAAATCAAGTGGTTGCAATACAAGATACACCCGTATTTTGAAAGAGATGGACAGAGAACAAGCTAAAAAAAGTGATTTTTCGTACAATTAGGAGTCAAAATTATCCAGGATTTTAAGGTTTGACATACGCCAATATCGCAAGGAACTGAGATATTTGGGATATAAAGTTATATTTTAAGTTTGGTCAATGGCTTGCTAATAGTAATAAAAGATTTTTTTTATAGATTGTATAAATGGCTTGGAATCGAAGTACGGTCGATCAATTCTATGCATGTTTCCAGCATCCGTCATTTAAAAGGTAAAAAAAAGGAAAATGCAATAAGATACCCATAAAAAACTACCCATAATATTCTTTTAATTGTTCACAATATGAGTTAGTATTTGGCAGTAATTTGTAGTATTTAGTTAGTATTGTGTAAGGATGTAATAGTTCAAAAATTTTTGAACCAGGTTATTTGGTCATTAAAAACCCATCCACAAACAGTTACCCAGTAACTGATTTATTCACATTAAAATCTAAATTTAATAAGAATTTTTTATTAAAATATGACTTGGAAATATATGTCTAAAGTATAATAGTAGGCCTTTACTTTGTAAGTTAACTGTCAGTAGAAATTCTATTCATTTTTGATATTTCATTTCTCCATCTTGCACAATACTTTGGCAGGTCAGGTTTTAACATAATATTAGCTATTTCCAAAGTCATGCATTACCAGTGACCCGTAAGTCATCAACTTTGAAACCAGCGCTCTCGGGTGATAATGTAAAAACTGGCTCAGCATTTTTTCCCTTCCGATCCCAGCAACATGCTTTCCTTCAAGCCTTAAAGGCTCAATATCACTCTTGTTGTAACAGAATAATATGTCCCAATTTTTATTCTGGTCAACAAATTATACTATTTTACAGTATTCCAATTAATTGATGATACAAATTTCATCTTAACACACCTAATTTAAAAAATTGGAAAAATTCAACTAAATGATTTGAAAAGCTTTTCAAATGTGACTTGTATTTAAAAATATTTCCAAACCCTTTGGACAAGAAAAATAGGATGTGATGGATAATTTACACAACAGGTAGGACACTTAAACATCTAATACTTAGAATAAGGCTAATATTTATTTACTGGAGCTGTCAAGCCAGCAAGAGTGTTATTGTCCCTTTAATTGAGGGAGTCTGTTGATCTACATTCCAATTCCCACTAAATTTTTTTACTGAATTAATATAGATAATGGTTGTTGGCAGGCCTGGTTTAGTGAGAGAAAAATGGTGTTTAACTTCAACTCAACACAAACTAGGTCATTTTTGGACTAATGCATGGTTCAATTTTATTTCAATAATTTGCTTCAGTGTAGAGGTAGTGGGAGTAAACTGGAGGGCCAAGAGAAAATCCACAAGGTTGGACAGACGACCCTACTTCTTATCACATACACATGTACAAGCAGGAAATCGAAACCATTCCATGCCACTTGACTCAATGACAGACCTTTCCTTTTATGATTTAAAAATTAAAGCGCACGCTAAACCATTCCGGCACCCTATCCCCTACAGCATTAGTCCAGCTCTGAACGTAGGTCTCTTTACACTCGACACTACGTCCAGGGAAGCTAGCATTGAATCAATGTCGAGAAAATAAGACCTCGCTTACCTCGCTAGATCCAGTATGAGGTCTTATTTTCTCACTAAGATGTTCCTTTACTTTGTTCAGGTATTCACAGGGACTGCCACGCGACCGTTAAGCGGTAAAAAGTTGCCCAGTAAAATTGACTGGGGCGGTCGTTTACGTTCGACATTGATTCAATGCTAGCTTCCCTGGACGTAGTGTCGACTGTACAGAGAGACCTACGTTCAGAGCTGGACTACTATAGCATAAGCATTTCATAATCTTGTACATGAATACTGAATAAAGCACTTTAACTGAATCACTTATAGGTACTTAGAAGAATAAGTGAAACTGTCTGTAACGTAACAGGAAGATGAGATGACTGAGATATTCCAGTGTGAAGTGTGTGTTGTTTACATAATCATTATGACAAAGAGATCAGAAAAGATGTCAGCAAAAGATGCTAAAACTTGTTTATTCATAAAAAAAAGAGCAGAGTCCGAATTAACGTTTGCTTACTCACTTAAGCAGATGAAAATTACTTACCACAGTTGTTCGATAGATAGGAAATAAATAAAATAATAAGATACAAGGAAAATAAGGAGGCGACCGGCGCCATGTTGATGACTAATAAACTTCCGGATAAGGGAAGTCACTATTGTGAAGTTCCGTTTTTTTCTCCTGGAGTAAGACTACTATACTAATATGCTAAATTTAGGGCTGTGACATTTTTTCTTCGACATTTCGTGGGGTTTAAGCTTTATAGGAGCAATCAACCTCATATTTACCAATTATCTGATTAAAATCTTATCCTTCCTACTCAAAATCATGAATATTCTCCTTGCAGAAAATGTAAATTCAAACCAGTTTCTAGACCAAACAATCAACAAAAATCGCCATGCAAATAAAAGGCCCCCTTGTATGCTATAAAAATGAGAACAAAAAACAAAAAAAAATTAACCAGAAAATATTTATTAGTTTGCATGGGGAATATCCCTGTATTTGTAGACTGAACTTTACTGAAGTGAAAGGATGCAATTAACCCATTCCTTCTTTTTTTATTTGTATCATAAAACCAGTAATATTTAGATATTTCACATTTGAAGTCACTAACACAAATAGTAGTAAAAATCCATGCCAGAGAAGTTTACATGTATTTGTTGTTAGTTGGTAGGTAAATCAGCCTTGTAACTGAAGACTAAAGGGAGATAACTCATTGACAACTGTTTCTTGACATTTTAATACATTCAAAATAATAACAGTATTAAGGGTACAGTATTCCATTTCTTCTTCTATGTATTCTAGTGGGGAAGCAGTGGGTTGTTAGGGGAGTGGGAAAGGGGAAGGAGGACGGTTTGAGGGCAGGTTTGGGGATTTGTGGTAGGGTATACATATCTTTCTTCTATGTGTTTTAGAGGAGAGTGGGGGGGTTGTGAGGGGAGCAGTGGGTTGTGAAGAAAGGGAAGGGCAGGGGGGAGGGAGAGGGGGAATTGTGGTATTGTAGAAGAGAGCTGGGGTTGGGGGGGGGCGGTAGGATCTGGTTTTTAGTGAAGCAGTTCGTCGTGAAGGAAGGGAGTGGCTGGGGGGAGGGAGAGGGGTTTGAGGTAGGGTATTCTGTTTAAATTTGTTCTTTATACATGTATTTTGATTAGGAAATGCCCATATGCTTAGAGAATATTGTGTAGATCCCGTTCCCTGCACTACAGAAAGGAATGAATGAATCTAGGCAACTTGTACTCACTGAGTCAGTGACACTGACTGCTCGTGGTTTACAGTACAGCATTTCTTTTTCCCATCTATGCCGTATATTATAAATTGAATCCTTTTTTGTAAATAGAAAATATAGAATACTTATACTATTGATTCAGTATTCAATTAGCCTATAGGGCCTGTGGTTGACGGAGGATCCTGGACTGGAGCCCCTTACACCCAGACCTTAAAAATCTGGCCCGGGGTGTAAGTCAGTCAGAGGATTTGCAGGTTCATTGTAGATACTATATGGTTAGAAGAAATAGTAATTGAAATGTATCTTCCCACTGCTACATATCCCTAGATGCAAATGAATTATGGAATTGAAATAGAATGTGGTTTAACATCCTACTTTTCTGCTCCGACTGGGCCAATGAAGACGGGCATACGTCATACAGTGTGCTATGAGGGTAATTTTGCTTGGACAGTGGCGCTACGGCCTACTCTTATATCGAATTTAAACTGCCAAGGGATCTTTTATGTGCATGCGAATGTGTACACAGGACCTTGGTTTTCTGTACTATCCGAACGACTAGACAGCTGTTCTTGTCAGGCCCACTGACCTGCAACACTGATAAGGGGAAACCACACCGGAAAATCCTGAAGATCTTTCTCGGTCAACACCTGGACCAAACCACATGTTAGTCTCAAAATGACCTAGTTTGTGGTGACTTGACATTTAACCCAACTTTTCACATAGGGGTCTTTAGCAGTGGGAGGAAACTGTAGGACCCCTGTGGTATCAAAACCACGCCACAATGGCAGACCTTATAAGTGCATATGTTAATGCCCCCTCCCCCCGCTCCGCAACTAAAAGTTACGACACCAAACCTTTCACAGAAACTCAACACGAAGACAATAGAAACATGTAGATATATTCTTTATTTTAAAATAAATCACAGGCTAAATAAAGCAAGAAATTTATCTTAATGACATGAACAAATAAATATTAGAACGGTTTGAACACATAAATTGTGAAAGGTCATTTTTATTCCAGCTTTATCAACAAACACTCAGTTTCAGTTGGCTTTATGTCTACATCAGTTTAATCACATGAAATGAAACGGGGTTTAACATCCTTTTTTTCTCCACCAACCAGGATAAGTGAGACAGGATATTTTGTGTAGTGTGCTATTGGGGGAATTTTGTCCGGACAGTGGTGCTACAGCATACTCTTATTTTGATTTCTGACTGTCAAGGGATCTTTATCAAGCTCAGTTATCGTCTCTTTTTAATATTAATAAATAATTTGAAATAGTAATAGGTCAATTTCCTTCCAAATCAAAAGCAGTAGGAACCAACAGTGAGTCAATGAGTTCGGTGTTGGCTCGCTAACCAGGAGATCAATGGTTCAATCCCACTATTGGCCAAGTAAGTTCATTGGTATTTTCCAGCATGGTATCCTTATTCATTGGTACAGGATGGAGAGCCTACCTGCAAGGAACATTGCCTTGTCGTTTGGATGATTCGAAAAACCATGACACTGCATGACATATACCCATCTCCATTAGCCCAGTTGGTGTAGAAAAGTAGGATGTTAAACCCCATTTAATATGATTGCATTTTAAGAGCAGTATAATGTAAATATTGTCAATCAATGAGGTAAGATAGAGTGTATGGAGCAGATCTATAAATAATAATGTTCAGCTATATATTTACATCCAAGTTAAAAATAGTTTCAGTCCTGATGTGTCATTTTAGTGCTATATAACAATTTGTAAACTACAATATTGTGAAAGACGAATCTCTAATAAGAATGCCAGACCAAAAATTGTTCAGTTCCATTCAGTATTTACGACGATATGTGGAATTGGAATTTCATCCATCTATATGCCGCTTGCTATACAATAAGTTCTTCCCCAAGCCGGGACATTATTTAGCATTATTTTTTTTTATTTTGTTTTCTTAAATAATCAATTGGAGTACATATTAACATGGATTAAACATACATTATGCAAGAGTTAAATCTGCCTATTGCAGGTCTTTCTTTAGGCCTGAAATGTTATCTAAATTATTAATTGGACATTAATAAATTTATCCAGACCATAATCAACTATCGATGTCAACGCTAGCCTGCGATACTTACTGGATTACGATCAGATTTGCTGCTCAACTTTAATTCATGAATTAATAATGAAATGGATGATCGCGACTATGTTTTTTATCGTACCGACTTTAGTAATGGTGATCGAGGCTAGACCGAAAATTCAATTACTAAAATCTTGGTTCAGAGTGGATCAATTTGACTGAAATTTTCAGCAAATTCCCTTTACATTATCTAGGTTTTAACTATTATAGTGAGAACTGCCAGATCTTTATCTAATCTCCCATAATGTATCTTTAAGTCTTGAAAAATTTAATTTGATATTTTAGCAAAATATGCAAACGGTGCATCAGGACTTTAATAACCATGCAAACATTAACAAAGCCAAATAAGCAACAACTATCTTGGAACTTTGTTGAATTTAAAAGTAATTTATTTCCAAGAATGTGACAAAACAAACTCCTTATAATTAGCATGTAAAATGGTTGGAAGAACCCTAGAACAGTCCTGATAAGTGTGGATCTCTGTGATACCTTTTAGGGCAGAACTGAGTTAATATTCATTAAATTTATTCCAAGACCGCGATGAATAAACTATGTTGCAAGCAGCTCATTTATTTCCAAGCCTAGGATATCATCATTTTAGTTGTTCTTCCTGTTTAAAAAAAAAAAGTCTGAGGCTATGGCAATTTAAGTGCGGTGGACATGTATGTTCCTTGGACAATTGAGCATTGATTGGCAAGACTTCAATTTTTGATAAAACCTCATAATTTCAAGATGGCGGCAATGACGTCATGTTCATTTCATGGTCCATGATACGCTTGTACTTGTTAATATTTCGAACATTAAACATAAAGATAATATTATATACACATTAGAACAATAATCAACACTATGGCACATTTATTGTGGTTTGTTTATAAATGTATTAATATTAGAATTAGTGGTTTTGTTAGTAGCGTACAAAAGGCCAAATAAAAAACATATTCTGGTCCTCAGAACCTTCCTCCTGCATCAGATTTCTAGTTAGGTTGGTTTGAGAACCAGAATAATTTTTTTGTTTGTTCTTAAAGGGAACTCAATACAAGTCACAAGTACAATCAATTACAGATATAAAATAACGTTTGCAGTCAACCTCTTGTTTTCAAAAATACCAAAACAGTCATTTCATACTTATTTTTATAATTTTGAAAACAGTTTTGAAATTTCTTTCATTTAGGTAAAACATAAAACTATTGTGAATTGTCAATCTGTTTAAAATATAGATCTATATGCCGTTTCGTTTTTTATATTTTCGATGGCCTACACCACATGAAGATCTGACTGGTTGTAGTGGGAGGTGGCGTCAGGGGCCATAACCAATCAGTGTTGATTTTTTAAGTGGGTATTTGGAAATACAACTATTGCTTTGTCTTCGATGCGAATGTTTACCCACAGTTCCGTGCACCGCACGCCAAGAACTCGCCACAACAGACCGTTTCATTGGCTAATCCCTCACATCAACCAGAACATGGGTTATATAACAACTCTTCCAGATCCTAGTGTAGTGAAGGTAAGTAAAACAAAATTTTGAACTATACAAAAAAGAAATGAAACGGATCTATGTTTTAATCAGATTGGTGAATTGTCTACGATCCATGAATAACAAGATATAGATTTCATAGAATTTGACACTTTTTAGTGTTACCTCAGTTTTTACCTGTATTTATTGTGTTTTCAGGTTAAATTCTTTAAATTCTAATTTCATGGCTTGTAATTTGACTGACAGGTCAGTTCTCAAGCCAGTCGATTTCACTGTCACTGGATCAGTTAAAACTGGTAAATAGCTAAAACTAAAACATTTTAAGAATGTACCCTTTTCATTGGCTAAGAGTTAAAATTTCGTTTTAGAAGTTTAATTCTAAAGCAATGAAAAGTTTGCATTCTTAAAGTAATTTAGTTTCAGTTTTTATGAATAATAAAGTCCAAGCTTTATATAATTTTTGCAGTAATATCACAAAAAGACAATATTTTCAACCACATATTTTAAAGCAAAAATATTCTACAATAGAAATAACAGCATAATCTATAATGGATACAAAACAACTTCAACAAAAATAAAATCTAGGTATATCTACAAAAACTGTCATGAAATAATAACGAAAGTAAAAGTTTCCCTTTATTTGATATGCCATCAGGTGGTGCCCACTGTCCTTTTAAATGGAAATCTGATTCTGAACCCTAATAAAAGCATTACCACTTAGGATGTCTTTGCTGTTGGATGAAAAATAAAAAAGAATTCAAGTGTCAAGACATCTGATTTTGATAGTATTATAATGGGCATGTGCAAATTAAGATTGTATGAAAAGACATAATAACCTCATGGAACAGTTAACATGTGGAAATTAGATCCTGTCTTCACTAGTCCATTAGACTAAGCACAAACACAGAATATGGAGTGATATAATAAAATAAACTTATAGACAACGAAACAGAAAATACATTTTTCTAAAATAAAAGAACAAACAAAATCAAAAAAAAAATATTGTTTTTGATCTTTTTGATTAATACAAAAATATATACCTGTTTGAACAAAACAAGCTCAAATCTGAAATATAGATTTGGGGACTCTTTCAAAATGTGGACTTAATTATATATTTTGATGAATGAATAAAGCAAGAAATTTTGTTCTTCACACACAGACATTAAGATTTTGCATCTTTTTTAAATTTGTTTTGTAAAATAAAATAATTCAAAAATAAAAAGTACTTGTCACTTCTACGTTTAGTTCAAAATTTTAATGTTTGAAATTTTATACCTCCCCAAAAAAATTGTCCTAGACTCAAGAGGCTATATATTATAAGGACTTCGAGGAACGAAAATTAATTTGATTTGACCTTTATACCTCATTAAGTCTAAATCTAGCACTGATTTTTGTATTTGAAAACATAAGCAGCCATTTAACAGGCTCCAAATAGACAATCAATAAGCGCATACATTCCATGTAGCATATATATATATATGTATATGATGATAAAACATATAACATGTATTAAAATATCACATAAATGTTGAAAATTTTATAACAATATAAAGAAATATTTAACTTTGATTGTAGTAATGTTAAATTTGATCAAATGCTTTCAATCAATCAGTGACACACTCAGGATTTTTGATTTGGGTGAAAATGAGAGTGATCGTTGACTACAGAATTTTGAATGCACAAAAATAACTAACTTTTCTATAAACTGTCGACAGTTTAAGACAAAAACGAAAGTAAAATTAGTAAAACTTTGCTTACTCTGCCGAAATGACATTTGAATGGTACTTAGTTTTGCTAAAGACTATTGAAAATATTTTCACAGTTCAACACTTACTTTTGACCCTAATCTAAGAAGCTCTGCCTATTGTACTATCAGCAGAATCTAAGATTTAAACTTTTTGGCTTATTAACCCTTTTAAGCCATTTAAACCACATTGACACATATCAAAAAGATTAATAACTTTGGAATAATTCAAATTGTCTGATTTTCACGTCACCCCAATATACAAGTGGTAGTATCTATTTTTATAAGGATCTTGGTGTACGGCTAAATGCCAGATTTATTTGACTGATTTGATAAACTTATCTGCATAAAACTATGAAACCATGATCTCGGTGTTCAAAGGGTTAAATGCCATATTTCAACCAAAGTGTGTGACTAATTTTATAAAAACTTTTCTGCATAAAACATAAAATTATGAAACATTTAACAAGCTATGATAAAATCGATAAGATGCTCAAAATATGTTGGTTAATAAATTAACAAATGAATTAGAATGATGCTGGTTAATGAAGATGATTATATGAATTGATGGTTTGTGAAGATGATACATTTTAAATGCTAATAGAATTCGGGACGATCTCTGGATCGAGATAAATATATGGTGGGTTTCTGGATTCGTTTCTTTCCTTGATTATTTTACTGATTTGTCGTAATTCCAAACGAAATCTGTAAAAAACAAAAAAAAAACATACATTACAGATCAAGCAGTATCTGAGATCACTGGAAATGGCATTTCCGGGCTTCTAGTTTTCGAAATTTTCCTTTGAAGGCCATCCGGAGCCCTTGTTGCACGCTTCGCACCTTCGTCACTCGCAGCGTGCAGCTTCAATGCCCATGCACACTGCATAGCCATGGTATCTGGATCCACCCTTGGTTTAAATGTCCACTCAACACAAGCCAAGCCATTTCGGGACTAACATATGGTACACTTTTATTTCTTTAGCAGATGGAGAAAACCAGGACCCAGAGAAAACCCACAAGGGTAGGCAGGCAACCCTAGTCCTTGTCATGTACAAGTGGGAAATGAAAATCACACCACTTGACTCGATGACAAGACCTCATGATCTAACATGCAGATGTTACATTATCCAGTCACTTAGCCCTGCCTTCTTTGTGTGTGTGTGTGTGGGGGGGGGGGGGGGTCAGAGTTGAATTAAAATTGTAGTTTCATAGTCAAATGTTGTTTAATATGGCAAGATGGCAAGACTTGTTTTGACATTTCATTGAAAAAAAGACTCCATAAATAATGGAAGAAAATGACATCAACAGCACTTACTCATCCACTAAGTCTCTAGCTTTAGGATCAAAAACATACTGAACTTCAAAATCACCAAGACTTTTGGTACCTCGACCACTTAATATTTTAGTAACGACCATAATATCTAGGGTTGTTGGTTTATCCGGTAGACTGGCCAGGATACTACGTTCATCTAAAGCTTCCTAAAATATCAATTTTTTTCAAAAAAGGATATCATTGCTGTATTGTTTACATGAATATCTTTCCTCTAATTCTTCTAGACTTAATATAAATGGAATGGGGTTTAACGTCCTACTGTTGTTCTCCTACTGGGTTAATGAAGACAGGCATACACCATACACATAAACAATACAGCAAGGATATGAATACACAACTATAATAACTTCAAATTTTTCTGTCAATATTTCAGGAAATGCTATAGGGTTAAACATGAACAATTCCAAATTACTGTACCTTTGAGTTTGGTGGTTGTCCTCGCATCATACTTTGATACAGTTAGAATATAATATAACAATATAATTAACATACCTTTGAGTTTGGTGGTTTTCCTCGCATCATACCAGGATAATTTGGAGTAAAGGCGTATTCTTCATATTGAGGGAAATTAGTTGACGCATGTGAAACACTACAGGTATATACAATACATGTTAATACTTTACTTATATCATCTATTGTTTTAAATGTTCCGTCATTTGGTATTCCCTGTAATATATAAACAATAATAAATTATATCCTGTAATATACAAACAATTATAAACAATAAATCATACCCTGTAATATACAAACAATTATAAACAATAAATCATACCCTGTAATATATAAACAATAAATCATACCCTAAAATATATAAACAATAGTAAATCATACCCTGAAATATACAAACAATAAATCATACCCTGTAATATATAAACGACAATAGAAATGAAATGGGGTTTAATGTCCCTCTGTTGTGCTCTGACAGGGCTAATGAAGACTGGCATGCGCCATACAGTATGCTATGAAGGAAATTTTGCCCGGGCACCAGCACTATGGCCTACTCTTATATCGAATTCCAACAGCCAAGGGATCTTTTACGTGCACGCCAATGTGTACAAGGGACCTCGGTTTTTCGTCTCATCCAAATGACTAGACAGCTGTCCTTGTCAGGCCCTCCGTCCTGCACTGCTAACAAGGGAAAACCACGCTGGAAAATCCTGATGAACTTTCTCGGCCAATGCAGGGATCGAACACGTGACCTCCAGACTAGCAAGTCAGCGCTTTACCCACTTAGCCACCGTGGCCCCCGCAATGGCTGAATGTCCTAGGTTTTATTCATAGTAGGAATCACAACATTTTTCAAGCTCAGTTCCAACTTATCAAGGGTAGCAAGGATGACAAACAAAACATCTCCTAGTTCTTCTGATTAGAAGATAAAATCAAGGTATACCTGATAACACATCAGACCCGGAGAAAACCCACAAGGTTGGACAGGCGACCCTACTCCTTGTCACATACAACCGGGGAATCGAAACCCCGCCAGTTGACTCAATGACAGACCGTATGATACAGCGCAGCGCACACCTGCTAACCATTCGGCCATCCAAGCCCCCGTGGGTAGCAGACATACTCAGATAATAATTCACAATACAGTTTAATATTTGAGTAGCAGCCAAAATAAGAATACATTTTAATACAATAAAACAAAATATAAATCTTACCAGTAATCCTACACCACCTTGTTCTCGAGGTAAAGCTAATTCTTTACCCCAATTCTGTAATTCCCAATCACCATTTATTTTCTCTGGTGTATCTATAATAATCATAATATATTCATGAATGCATTTAAAAGAATTTGACATGTATAAAGCTAAGGCGATCATTGTCCAGATCTGTCGGGTAAATCCCACCACTATGCAAAAAGTACAATCCTTAACATGGTATCATCAGACATGCACTTAAAGATACATTATGTTAGATTTTGATGAAGAGCTGGCTGCTCTGGCTATAATAGTTCAAAAATAGATAATGAAAAATGAATATGTTGAAAATTTCATTCAAATTATTTTATTCTGTTTGAAGATATAGCGTAGATCATTCATTATCGTAGTAACGGTACTTGACAACCAAGGCTTAGACACTATTGTTCATTTTATCGATAAATTTTTAATATTGTCCGGATGTTTAAATCAATTTCTACTCCAACTGGGTTAATAAAGATGGGCATAAGCCATACATGTGTGCTATAAGGGAGATTTTACCTGACATTGCTAAAGACCCCTACAAGCAAGCGATTTATAGAAATAAAAAACTGAACCATATGTTAGTCCCGAAATGACATTGTTTGTGTTAAGTGGATGTTAAACCCCATTTCTCTCTTTCTCGCCCTTGCCAGGCCCTTCACAGTGCATCACTAACAAGGGGGAAACACACCGGCAAATCGCGATGAACTTTTTCGCTCAACACAGGGATCGAACACAGGATCTCCAGGTTACTGAGCCAACGTCTTACTCCCTGAGTCACATGTTTAATATAAATAAATAAATCTGTTTAACATACCGTAATATAAAGCCACATATTTAGATGTATATTTCTGAATAGCGTGATATAAAAGTATGGCGTCGTCTCGAAAATGGTAACCAGGCAACACATTTGGATCATCCAACTATGAAAGAAGAAAGAAAATTATAATATTCAACATAGGTTGCCAACAGATAATAGTAAGTGCAGGGGGACTGCACCACACACAAACAAATATACCAGACAAATCTATGGACAAGACACAATATACAGACATCACAAACAACAAACATATTAGATCAAGTGAATGGATCTGGGGTCTAGAGCCTAGACGTAAGCATCCCCTGTACAAGATGTCCAGATAATGATAAAAATTTGTCTGATTCATCATCACATTTGCCAAAGCCCAGCTAAGGCCCAGGGCCCTGTGGTTTAGGAGGCCCCGCGGTTCATGTCAAAAAGAGAAAAAATTCAAATTCAAGAAGAGTTTTGCGGTAATCGATCTTGCGGCGCAAGGGCGGAGAATGAGCTATCCCTCAACCTTCTCTGTGAAGTTCTACTCGGTGATCGGTCTAGGCTTCTAGTGGCGCGATGGGCTGAGACTGGGTGAGTCTGCAATCCCTCAACCTTCTCTGTGATTGGTCGAAACGCGAGACGAGAGATCTTTCAGTGATTTCACTTGTTATATGTCATTTCCGCGCATTGTATGCCATTCGGAACTGAATAGATTTCGTATGTGATCTGATGTTATGTAATTATTCTTGTATTACAGACCGTTTAATTGTGTGTTACGCATGCGTGCCATTCAAAAGGATATGAAATAATCTTTTTGCCACGTTAGGGGCCACGCGATTCTAGTCAGGCCCGGGGCCCCGCACCGGTTAAGCTGGGCTTTGATATTTGCTGTTGAGAAATAAAGCCATACAGAACTGGATTCAGCTAATGTAGGCCATGTAGCATATTTAGATTTTATTAACTAGTATAAGGTTAATATGGCACAGAAGCTATTAGAAAATGCCATTTCAGTTGTTTTTATTCTAATACTATCTGTACATGTTTGGTTAGAATTTGTCTCACCAAGCTGTTTAGCATGGATTAACCCATGAAATCTTAGATATTATCTGAAAATTGTGCATGACAATCAGTGGCGTTTAGCAACCAGATGGTTATTATACCTGATGAGCTAGCTTATAGTCAAACAATGTTTACTTACCCCTCGTCTTTTTAGATCTGCTGGTAAAGTTCCATCTACATCTAAATGCCAACTTTCAATTCTAAAAAAGAAATTTTGCAAGTCAGATATCTGAAACGGTTTATAAGATATGCTCCGGAATCAAAATTGAATTCCAAAAACTAAGTCAAATTTATATCTATGGAAACACAATAATTATTAAATCTGTGATATTTCAAATTAGCAAAAGGTACAACTACAACTACAATAACAGGTTGATGTTTGTACAAAGTTTCATAAAGATATATTGAACAGTTTATGAGAAATAAAATGAGGGACAGCGCTCGCTGTGGAATTCTGTCTCTCTCCCTCTCTCTGTGTAAATAGAAGATATTATTATTAATAGTCTATATATTTTACTTACCCTCTTTTTATTAATTCAAACATTCCCTTGATACCAGTGTTCATAACTTTATCTACCCAACCACCTTCTGAAACCAATATCTCTAAACCTCGTCTGAAATCAACATAATTACAACTATCATACAAAATCTTCAAACCTCTCAGTTTGCAAAACTCTCAATGTGGCAAAAGGCCAATGACAGACCTAATGATCTAAAGCACACACGTTAAGTCAATCGGCCACCCAATCCCTAAAGTATTAAATATTATTATATACTTACGTATTGATAGCTATCAAATACAGAAAATGTGGAGCTAAAAACTTGAAAGCAGGATGTGACTGTGAAAGATTGCGATGTGTTGCTACGGTTACTCCCTCCATTAAAAGATGCGTAAGTCCTGTAAAATAAACAAGCCAACAGTGAGGCTGATGTCCCCCGCCGAAATAGGAAAATAATTAGAGGACACATATAAATTTATCACAAATTATCTTTTACAAAGTATTGAACAATCAAACAGTATATCTTTACTTATAGTCTAAGCATACAATGTTTTTGATGGAATAATTATAGCATATTAAGGGGAAAACATACTCAATTCGAAGGAGAGTTATTGTGTTCCAAAGTCTCAGCAAATCAAATTGCTTATCGCTCTGCTTAATCTGAGCAGAAAATGCTCATTATCGATCTTAGTCAAGGTATTACTGTAATGAAACTATACACCAAGTTTCATCACTCTCACTTAATTAGAACTAAAGTTATAGTGTCCCAAAGCATCAACCAATCAAATAATTTATCTACTTAATTAGAACTAAAGTTATAGTGTCCCAAAGCATCAACCAATCAAATTGTTTATCTCTGCTTACCCTAAGCGGAACGGACAGACAAACAGACAGACGGACGAACCCATTTTAATAGTTCCCTGCTTTCTTCGAAAGGCGGGGGACAATAAGCATGAACATTTACTCAATTCGAAGATCAACCAATCAAATTGTTTATCTCTGCTTACCATAAGCGGAACGGACAGACAGACAAACAGACAGACGGACGAACCCATTTTAATAGTTCCCTGCTTTCTTCGAAAGGCGGGGGACAATCAAAGTAGGAGAGTTATTGTTTTCCAAAGTCTCGACCAATCAAATTGCGTATCGCTCTGCTTACCCTGAGCAGAAAATGCTCAATTATCAAACTTAGTCAAGGTATTACTGTAATGAAACTATACACCAAGTTTCATCAATCTCACTTAATTAGAACTAAAGTTATCGTGTCCCAAAGCATCAACCAATCAAATTGCTTATCTCTGCTTACCCTAAGCAGAAAATGCTCATCTTCGAACTCCATCAAGGCATTGACCTAATCAACACATACACCAAGTTTGAACATTCTAGCTCAATTAGGAAGAGAGTTATCGTGCCCCAAAGTATCAACCAATCAAATTGCTTATCTCTGCTTACCCTAAGCGGAAAATGCTCATCTTCGAACTCCATCAAGGCATTGACCTAATAAACACATACACCAAGTTTGAACATTCTAGCTCAATTAAAAGTTATCGTGTCCCAAAGCATCAACCAATCAAATTGCTTATCTCTGCTTACCCTAAGCGGAAAATGATCATCTTCGAACTCCATCAAGGCATTGACCTAATCAACACATACACCAAGTTTGAACATTCTAGCCCAATTAGGAAGAGAGTTATCATGTCCCAAAGCATCAACCAATCAAATTGCTTATCTCTGCTTACCCTAAGCAGAAAATGCTCATCTTCGAACTCCATCAAAGCATTGACCTAATAAACACATACACCAAGTTTGAACATTCTAGCTCAATTAGGAAGAGAGTTATTGTGTCCCAAAAAGTGTGACGGACAGACAGACAGACATACGGACAGACAGACGGACGAACCCATTTTAATAGTCCCCTGCTTTCTTCGAAAGGCGGGGGACAATAAAACTATTACATATTCTTCCAGTCATTATTGAGACAAACAAATTTCCTTTCCAGGGTTTATTCCAATTTCAGAGATTTAACAATGGGAAGAACTCAAGAGAAAACCTACAACTCTACTTTGTATAACATAAAACTGTGGGATCTAACCCACAACATGCATAGATGATAGAATGAATTAATGTCCTACCTATCTACACCAACCGGCTAATGAAGGTGGGTTTATGCCATGCAGTGGGCTATAAGGGAAATTGTGCCTGGACAGTAACTGAATTCCAACAGGTCTTTCAAAGTGTACTTGGGACCACAGTTTGTTTTACCATCACAATGACTATGTAAATGATAGAACTGTGATAGCACATTTGACCATTTGGGCACCAGAGACCCCTACTACGGATGCACAATGGATGCTTACGGCCAGCCCCCGGATCCATTCACTTAATTTGATATGTTCGTTTGTTTGTGATTTCTGCGTATTGTGTCTTGTCCTTTTTTTTGTTTTATGTAAATTATGTGTGGTGCAGTCCCCCTTCATTTACTAATAAGAAGATCTGTTACTATGGTTACTTACCAAGATGTGTTAGTGATTGATGGTAAGCAGCATCAGCATTATTATACCACATTTTAGCTAAAACCCAGGTGTTTGGATGATCTGTTGGTAAAAACACCTGAAAAATTACATCAATAAACAAATAAATATGTTTTTTCCAGAAAGAAAACGAGACAGTCAGTCAATCAGAGAAAGAAATATATACATAAGGTCTATCACCCACTTAACACAAACTAGGCCATTTTGGGACTAACCCATGGTACAACTTTGTTTTAGTAATTCGTGTAGGGGTTTTCAGCAGTGGGAGGAAACCCACAACAGACAACAAAATTACAAATAGTTTTATTTCTATCTCAGGTACTTTTTTTTATTCATCTTATGAATTTGTTTGCACAGAGCATAATTCATACAGACATTATTGTTTTCCATTTACATGATATAAAAAAAAATATACAATACATCATCACAATTCCCTGTAGGTCTCTCGAATGTCAAAACCATATTAAATAATATAAAGAAAATTTGCAACTGGGTATTAAGGTATTAGTGTGTGGTCAAATGGGACACGTCATTAAAGCTTCATTTAATAATTCAACACTTAGCAAGATATTCTAAAGCCCCAGGGACTTCTTAAATCAATAATTTTCCCATTACGATGCCTCATTATTGAATTAGTAATTATCATTTATTGTAAAAAATAACTAAACAATGCAATCAAATAAAGTGATTATTTTGACGAATGTTTGTTAGGCAGTTCTGTTCAAATATTGTTTTTATTTAAATGCGTGTTTGATGAGTAAAGTGGCTTCTGTGTGAATTATTTTATCCGTTATTCTATATAACTGAAAATCCCCAGAAACATTTTCTCAACTTAATTAATGATGTTGATGATAAAATTGATTGTTTGCGATTAATTACTTTTGGATATGAATTAATGCTGCATAAAACCAATTCACATCTTTCTTATTTTTAACGTTGTCCCATGGAAATACAGCTCTTAGGCCGATGAAATGAAATGGGGTTTAGCATCCTACTGTTCTTCACTGACTGGGCTAAATGAAAATGTGCTTTCGCCATACAGAGAAATTTTGCCCGGACTGTCAAGGGTTCTATTACGTATAGGACCTCAGTTGTCCGTCCCTTCGGGCCTTCCATCCTCACCATGTCGGAAAATCATAAGGGACTTTCGTGGCCAGCATTTGAGCAAACTCGAGACCTCCTGGTTAGCGAACTAGAGTCTTACTCACTGATCCACCACAGCTTCCTCTTAGGACAAACCATTTTAATTTTGAGTTCTTCTTGGTCTTGATAAATAAAAGTCACCCAAGTCTCATGAAAAAATTTTTATTTAAAATTTCAAAACTTGAAAATGTGGAACTAAAAACCTTTAAGAAGACTATTTGTGGTTTTTAAATCAATTTTTTTCCCAAAGAAAGAAGACTCAAAATTTCTGAAGAACAAATGTATAAATTTATGTAGCCTCCTTAATCAGTCTGTTTATTGTATAACATGGTTATCATGGTTCATATTAGTTATATAATTGAAACCCATGGTATAGCGATAATATTAATTAATATTTATCAATTGTACCAGGGGTATTTTGGGAATTATTTATGCTTTAAATAAAGATGACCGACTCTACAAAATCTTTATTATGGTAGTTCTATAGTTCTATCGCAATAATATTAATTGATGTCATTATGACTGTTTGATAAAATCCCGGCCCACACCACTCTCATTCAGGCTGTTGTTAACCAGCGGCTGCCAGGCAGGATATGCCCACATTTTGCAAGAGATGGATAACTAAAAACAAACAGGATTTTTTGTACAATCAGGGGCAATAATCCAAAAAGTTATGCTCTGAAATGCGCAAATATAAAAAGGGACTGAGATCTTTGGGATATAAAGATATCTTTTAAGTTTCATCAAAATCAGATAAAAATTGTGACCTCTAGAGGGTCTACTTTTACACAATTTGCGTACAAAGTGCGGCCATTTTGTCGGGCAGTTTTATTTTGATTTTCCCAAAATTCGAATTCAACCTTCATTATGGTGGAATGGTAATATATATAAACGTTTTTTAAAATTAAAAAAAAAATTGTGACCTATAGAGAATCCGCATGCTAAAATGTGATTTTTCAAACAATCAGGAGCCATAATCCAGGAAGTTACGAGCAGATATATGCGATTATCAAAAGGAACCCTTGATCTGAGTGTGTAATGGTGATATATTCGAACGTTTTTTTAAATCGAATAATAATTGTGACCTCTAGAGGGACCACAAACTAAAACGCGATTTTTCGTACAATCAACCATTCTTAGGGTGTAACGGTGATATATTCACACGTTTTTTTTCAATCGGATAAAAATTGTGACCTCTATGGGGTCCACAAGCTAAAAACGTGATTTTCCGTACAATCAGGGGCCATAATTCCGGAAGTTATGGTCCGATATGCGCGAATATCGAAAGGAACCGAGGTCTTTGAGTTATAAACATACATTTCAAGTTTAAACCAAATTGGATAAAAATTGTGACCTCTACAGTGTTCACAAGCTAAAAACGTGATTTTTCGTACAATCAGGAACCATAATCCATGAAGTTACAGTCCGATACATGCCAATATCGAAAGGGACCGAGATCTTAGGGCGATAAACCTATATTTCAAGTTTCATTGAAATCGGATAAAAATTGTGACCTGTAGTGTTCACAAACAATTGTGGACGGACAGACGGGGGCAACGACAATATACGTCCACATGAAAATGTGGGCATATAAAAAGGTTAGGAGTTTAACAAGTTTTTATTATTTGCCAGAGTTATTCTGGGGAAATATTAATGTTTCATAAAAAAACCTGGCCCACTCTACTCCCACTTACAGCCAGTGTTATGAAAGAGTGGAGTTTTAACGAGTTTACAATGTTGATGAGACTTTAAAACAGAGCTTTTTTTGAGTCATATTGGCCAGTAATGACTTGACTAGGAGTGAAAATAACCATCTAGAGAATATAAATGTCAGTCAATTTACATAATTTAAAATTCGAATTACGAAGAAATTAACCATAAAAAAAAAAAAACTATTTACACGACATAACACTAGAATTTCAAATACAGTAAATACAGTTAAAATGTCTAAATTTATATATACAGTTATAATGCTAAAAATTCTCATTATTCTTTTGAAAATAATTACCAAAAGTAAACAAAATACACCAAAAATTGCTGGACTGACAAATTTCTGAAGTGAAAGCCCTGATTTGTTTTGATATAGCAGACAAGTTATATTTTTATTTTTATTATCTTAGTGGGAGTACCCCGAGTAACCCTACGAGTTAGAGAAGGTACCCATATCTCCAAGTCACATATGCTCACACCAGGGATCGAAACCAGGACCGTAAGCCAGTGGTGACCGGCCAGTTAAAGCTCAAAGCACGATACTCTAGACCACTAGGCCATCGTCCCCCCCCCCCAGTTGTAGGAAGATTGACATCATCCAATATGCTCACACCAGGGATCGTAAGCCAGTGGTGACCAGCCAGTTTAAAGCATGATACTCTACACTTCTAGGCCATCGTCCCCACCCCCCACTCACCAGGTGTAGGAAGATCAGGGCCTAAAATAACGTGCCTTGGCGCACGAACGTGTTTTGTAATGAAAAATCTGTGCTTCGAAAATAAGAAAACCGTGCTCTGAAAAAAATGGCTTAAGGCTCTGAAAAAGTGTAAGGTAGCGATGCCCCCTGATCCCTAATGAGTGTTTCCTCTTGTGGTGGTCAGTTGCGAAGGTCAGATCAGATCTGTTGGCGCCCGATCGACTCCCTCGGATGAGTCGAGTGAGCGCCAGCCGCATCCGCTCACTAGTCAGGTTTTCAGTAGGTTTGGTATCTGATCCGCTGCGTCCTTCACCGCCATTTCACTTTCACTTTATTTTTGACATAATTTTCACTAATTTTCGGTATTATCTGTGATCTTAAGTATTGAAATAAAGATGTGAAACCGGAGCTTAAACCACCGGACACAGAATCCGTGCTACAAGAATTTAACCTTATTTTAGGCCTTGAGGAAGATTGACATCATCCAATCTTATTAAAGCTTAAAATTCAATCTAACACTAAATACATATGTCTGGTAAATTAATCCCCCCTCCAAATAATCAGAGTTAATTGTAGCCATTGACATATTTAAGATGCCTTTAGCAAGCAGTTAAATTAATCCCCTGTTTTTCATACATAGGAAAATGGCGGCACTTTATTGTCAACATCACCTGCACATGAAATGCAACAGAAAGTCAAACTACAGTGTAATGGTGGCAGTTTATTGACGAATTTGAAATGATATGGGGGTTGAACATCTCAATTTGTCGACGACATCACCCGCAGGGGCATTATAAAGGAATGTAACAGACAACATAGATAAGTTTAAGACAATTAATATTATAAAGTAATTAAAATTATCTCTCATTTAGGCTTAATGTGGATTATGGGCCTAATGATTTAAAATCATTTTCTGTGTACTGCCCACCACATGTTTCATCAATAAAACCATTTCTTGGCTACCCAAGTCTTGCGTGAAACAACATAGAAAAAGCTATCATTATTGTCATCTGCATTGAAAAGTGGCTAAAACATCAAGGTCCTTCATATACACATTGCCTGAACATTAAAAGAGAGAGAGAGAAATGGGGTTAAACGTCCACTCGACACAAACTAGGTCATTTCGGGACTAACATATGGTTTAATTTTATTTCAATAATTTGCTTGCGTGTAGGGGTCTTTAGCAGTGGGAGGAAACCGGAGGACCCAGAGAAAACTACGAGGTTGGACAGGCGACCCTAGTCCTTGTCAAATACAACCGGGTATTCGAAACCAAGCCAGTTGACTCAATGACAGACCTTATGATAGAGTGCTAGTGCTAACCATTCGGTCATCCCCTCGAACATTAAAGATCATTTCCCACATCTGCATGGCATAAGGCAGCCTTCATTAGCCTGTTGGACGTTAAAACCCATTTCAGTGGCCATTGATCTCATATCGTCACATGACGTAAAGATTTCTTATGTCTTATCTATATGGCCCATTTCAACAGCTATTTTATACTATTCATTTTGTAGAAAATAGATGAAATGCCATCAACAGACACTGCGCTAGTTAATTTCTCAAACTTACATAAACTTTAGGAGCAACCTTGAGAAGCAAATACACCATTAGAGTTGTGTCCCTTACCTCATATTCTGTAACCAGTAAACACTCAATGGATATTACCCAACCAATCCTCATATATTAAAATGTATTCTTCTAATTAAATTTTATCCCAAATAAATAATTCTGATGTAACCTAGGGTGACCAAAATCAATCAAGCCCTTTATTTTGTACTTACTGGATTATCTGGACCTGGTTTCTGGAATAGCTGTATGGCGATTGGTCGTAATTGTTTGTTTTTATTTACCATGAACAAGCCAATAGGAACACATAACTGAAAATTAACAATAACACATTGAATCAATTGAAAAATAACAATAAACAATAATACATTGAATCAATTGAAATATAACAATAACACATTGAGTCAATAAAAAAATTAAAATAACACATTGAATCAATTAAAAAGTGAAATAACACATCGAATCCATTGAAAAATTCATGTTTAAAATCACAAGGGAAAAGTAGGGTGTGATTATGTCCTTGAAGAAAGGGTAAAAGTAGGGTATGATTTTCCTTGAAGATAGGGTATAAGTATCTTGTGATTGTCGTTTGTTAGTTCCTGGAGATTTACGTCCACTTCCACCAAGGGTGATATCATAGACAAGGATGTGATTCTCGATGAAGACAGGGTATAAGTAAGGTGTGATTGTCCTTGAAGACAGGGTATAAGAAGGGTGTGATTTTCCTTGAAATCCAGTGATCAAGAATTCTTGAAGTTGCATATAGCTGACTGCACACAAATCGAAGTCTTCAATCAATTCGCAATTGACCAAGGAACCAAGTTTCATGTCAATCATACTAGAATGGGCAGAGTCGTGGGCTTTTTTTCTAGGAGTATCGTCCCCAAGAACAAGAAGAACAAGAAGAATAACAACAGCAAGATGAGTAGCATTGTGGCCCAGTTTCGGATCTAAAAAGATTAATTGATATAAGCTGTATCATAAATTCGAGAGGAATCAATAGTCAATACGAATTAAAACAATATGGATTAAAAGATTAATATATCCAAAATATATATGTACCGTAAATCCAGGTTTACATGAAAGACCTTCTAATATCTCTAAATCACAGATAAATAAACGTTTCTCTTTCAACAAACTTTCTAACGTATTTCCTTCTAATAATGGTTTGAGCATCTCTTCAGTAACTGCGAGTCTGAAATAATAATATTTGCATACAAAATTGAAACAACAGAAAAGGAAAACAATGGGATTTAAGGAATTAAAAATGTGATTCCTTGTAAAAAAAAATGTGAGGCTTTGTGGTTTCAAAGTAAATGTGCATGTTTTGTATTTGTTCGGAAAATATTGAATTTTTCGCACTTTAATTTGAAATTCGAACAAAAAATGTACGCAGATTGATTATTTATTGAACGTTTCTTCATAACAGGAAAAGAACACTAGACTAAATTATCAAGTACATAACCATGGGAAACACTACTGACATTCATGAACGGCACTGGATAATCGCATGTTAATTTATTATTCGCAAAGATGGCGACAATTCTGCTGTCAATAAGGTGGGGATTCAGAACAGAGATCTAGTCTCAAAGTAGATATCTATCTGTGTGCAGAATGGAAACTTACTTCTCTGGAATGGCTGTACATAATTTAATAATTGAGTGATTGAGGCTGGCTATTCTCTGAAGACCGAAATATAAATCATTACTCCATCGATCAGCACCCTGAAGACAGAAAATTTATTTTATTTAAATTTGGTTTATTAATATCAATCAAAGTATAATGATGATAATATCACAATTTATAAAATATTGCATGGTATATGCTCGTCTTCATTAGTAAACTTGGGACAGAGATTAAACATGTTAAAACTCTAATTTATTTTCATTTTTCGCTAACACTTATGGTAATCAAAATATGGATTGCCTGAAAATCGCTGCATGGGGAAAATTTTCTGATTATTCAAGAACCCTTTGTTAATTGGGAAATCCCTTTGTTAATTAGGTAATCTCTATGTTAATGGGGAAACCCCCTTGGTTTTCTCATTAAAGGTCTATCGATTCTATGTGCTCTAGGTCTCGGATTCAACTTGTGAAATAGGGCATGGGTTCACATTTTGACTTTACCTTAGGTAAATGGAATACATTCTGTGTGTAGATATTTTTTAGATGTGCTAAACTTTCCCATTCTCCTGCTGTTAGCTTGACAATTTTGCTTGTTGCTAATAATTGTACCTTCGTAGTCATGATATCCCACTGAAATGAGAAAAGAAATAGTATAAATATTTCACACATGACTGACTAAACATTAATATCAACTTTGCTTACAGTTTTAAAGTACAAAAAAAACCCAGATGACACAACAAAATAATTTGTATTCCACTTTATATCTTAAAGGAGCTAAACTGCTAATATTTTGGGCCTAGAAATTGGCACAAATAGGTCGCAACACATATAATAATGTAATATGAATTTATATAAACTGTTTTACATTCAATCGTTTCCGTTTTACTGTGAATTGTCATCAGTTATGTTCGGTGAAATACGCCAGAAGTCTCAACCGAAAGACAGTTTCTAGCCTCTGGTTATTCCAGTCAACACCGATAGTATATATTGCGCATGCTCTCCAAATTAAGAATATGGCATCACCGTTTGACATGACTTGTGGAATATGTCTAGCCTCATTCTTTGAACACCTTGTTACAAATGGCGCTGAAACGCATTATGGTACACCATTCGTGTACCAATGGTAAAATGTTTATTTTGTCTTAAATATTGGATATCAGAAGCCCATCTTTTCCGGGTAAGACTACAACACCAATGCTGATTTAAATTGCAAAAAATTTGTGTTTTCAATGTCAAAGATTTTGGAAGATATTGAGTTATGGACTTAGCTTTCAATCAATTATCTCAAAGTTTAATAAAAAAACCTAAATAAATGACAGACTAATTTTCATAATGTGCTAGGCTAAAAATCAGTTTTATGGGTATTCAAAATGAGTTTAGGTTGATCCATCGATAAAAACCAACTGAATTGTCTTCTGTCTATTGAAAATAGTAATATTCATCGAGATTCTAGTCCATCTCATGATAATATAACCATGAACCATCCTATGCATGGGGGTTCACGTGGCTAAGTGGGTAAGACACTGGCTTGCCAGGTGTTCGATCCCTGCATTGGCCGAAAAAGTTCATCCAGATTTTCCAGTGTGGTTTCCCCTTGTCAGTGATGCAGGACGCAGCGCCTGACAAGGACAGCTGTCTAGTCGTTCGGATGGAATGAAAAACTGAGGTCCCGTGTACACATTGGAATGCACGTAAAAGATCCCTTGGCAGTTGGAATTCGATATAAGAGTAGTTGGAATTCGATATAAGAGTAGGCCGTAGTGCCGCTGCCCGGGCAAAATTTCCCTCATAGCACACTGTATGGCGTATGCCTGTCTTCATTAGCCCAGTTTAGGAGCAGAACAGTAGGACGTTAAACCCAATTTCATTTCATTTCATTTCATTTCTCAGACACACACATAGACAGACATGCAGACAGCATAATGTGTTCCACATTGAATGTGGACATACAGAAATTAATTAATTTGAGCCCAAAACATATCAATGGATTGGCAAATTCAAAAGAGAAACTAACTGTTAACCAGTTTTCTTAACTTAATCTTTTGAAGTTAAACAACACATCTAACATTGATGGACGTTACATGATGGAACATAAAAGTTTGGAGACCCTAACCTTTCCCATGTTACATGATGGAGTATAAAAGTTTAAGACCTTAAACTTTGTCATGTACCATGTTCAGATTGAACCGAAGCTTACATAGATGCCAGACCTTCATGCTTAAAGTAAAATAAGGCTGAATATTGACCTTACCTTATAATCAAATGAAAATTGTTCATCAGGAGGCATCTTGCTAATCTGTAATAGAAAAAGAAAAGTTTTTAATACAAAAGAGAAAGAAAAGACAAGTTGTCAATTTGGTACTAACACAGATCCTATTTCGTTTCGTTTTTATAGTTCAAAATTTTGTTTTACTTGTCTTTACTACACTTGGATCTGGAAGAGTTGTTATTTATCTCGTGTTCTGAATGGTGTCAGGGATTAGCCAATGAAACGGTCTGTTACGGCGAGCTTTAGGCGTGTTTTTTCACGGAATTGTGGGTAATCCACTAGTAACATCAATGCTAATTGGTTAATCAAATGTCTGATGTCATAAGGTCATAAGTCGGTCTTTGAACCCCTGACGTGACCTATTGCTATAACTTGTCAAATCTTCATGTAGCGTAGACCATCGAAAGTATAAAAAAACGAAACGAAATATTGATCTGTATTTTAATCAGATTGAACTTTGGCTGTAGGGCCTTTAGATCTCGATGCCCTAGGTTCCAGCTTGCCAATCCTATAGCTAATTCTAGATCTTGACGCCCTAGTTTCCAGCGTGCCAAGCCTATAGATAAATTCTAGATCTTGACGGTTCTTTTTGTTGATTTGGTTTTTTTTAATCCACAGACGGTGAACAAATTGATCGAAACAATATTTTCATGAATGTTAGACTAAAATGTTCCATCTGTGATTGGCTTATGGGGTCTAGGTGTTATGGTTATTTATAATCTCTGTCATTAATATTGATAAGATGAACGCGTTTCACATACTAATTTAACGGTCTTAGAATACCGATTTTAAATGTTAAATGGATGTCTAGCTGTGTTTTGATTCATAGACCCATGCGTCTCGTATATTTCATGTGCTAATATTTAAATTTGACAGATGAAATGATGTAGGTCTATAGATTTGTTTTGATTTTTTTGGCCCATGTGTCTCATACATATTATGTGCTAATATAGTTAAGTTTACAGATGAATTAGTGTCTATCATTCAGACAAATATTCAACGAAATTTAGTCTGGATGTGTTGTCAACATTTGAGAATACTAGGTCATTGGCTAGATTATCCCGTCTTTTACATTATCATGAACAAAGTCTATGTATGTTTTTAAATTAATCCTAATTCATCATCACGAATCTAGGGTTTGTTAATAATAATGTATGAATTATGGGATTTCTTAAGGGGGAGAAAAATGGGGTTAATGTCCACTTGACACAAACTAGGTTATTTCGGGACTAACATATGGTTTTAATTTTATTTCAATAATTTGCTTGCGCGTAGGGTTCTTTTGCAGTGGGAGAAAACCGGAGAACCTGGAGAAAACACTCGAGGTTGGAGATTTCTTTAGGGAAGGGGCGCAACTCTTATTGACTTGGCAAAAAATCCTGGATAATCAACCACATAAAAAAACAAACTCCCAGTTACGCATGGGTAATGGAACTTTTTGTCAAATATTGACAACAAACCAAAAAATCCTGGATAATCAACCACGTAAAAAAACAAACTCCCAGTTACGCATGGGTAATGGAACTTTTTGTCAAATATTGACAACAAACCCAGACTCTCCATACGTTGAAGACTAAGAGGTTCTGGGTGACCGAGATAAGATAGACATACGTTCTCCTGATTTTTGTTGGTTCTGTAAACATAAGACTGATTGAGCGAAACTGATTAATTATTTATTAGGCCACCAATTTGATTTTCTGTTTTTCAGGGTCTTGAAAATGATAAGAGAATACTTGACTTGTCAAAACATTGTGCTATATGTGTATAAACCAGGTTTTGCATATAAATTGTATTGTGTTTTTTAAATAAATAGTCACTTGAATTCCGGGAAACATGTTTTGTTTAAAATTTCAAATGTAAAAATTTTTAACTACAAGCTTCTGAACAGCTCAACCAAGTACTTAAGGTTTTTAAATACAACTTTTTCTTGAAGAAATATAAGAAGGAAAATGTTTACAGATGTTCCTGAAGAACTGAAAATCAACTTGGTGAGGCCTTATGCACAAGATATCTTTATGAAACTTTGTTCACATGTCAACCTGTTGTAGTAGGATTTAAACAAATTTTACTTAGTTTCTGGTACATATTGTGTTTATATTTCTTTTCATGGCAATCTGCAATAATTGGTTAGTTACTTTTGGGCCTAGCAAAATAAAAATATAGTTCATGGACTGTTAAATGATGCAGATTCAGTCTACATGTACATACAACATGTAAACAACTTTAGAAATTTATTGTTCATGCGACTTCTCAAGGACTTTTACAACTATAAACATACACTGTATGCACATACAAATGATAAGTCTGTTAGATTAATCTAATAAAAGATCTTCGGTTCTTTTTTCTTCAATTCTTATTTTAAATATGAGGGGTGTATCCGGTTTAACATGACAAAAAATATGCTAAACAAACACTTTACAATAGTATACGCGACCAACGACACCACATGCAATTTATTGTCATAAAAAATGATCTTAGAGAGAGTGTTTTATTTACTAAGAGCAGTTTGCCTATTCACAAACTTACGCGACCGACGAAACAATATGCAATACGTGGAGATATCTATCAACTCGTATACAATACCTGATATATTTTTATACTGCCATAAAAAAATGATTATAGATGAGAGTTTTATTTACCAAGGAGCAGTTTATCTATTTACAAATTTACGATAATTGCGCTGATTAAAAAATGCCAACGATTAGATCAAACCATGGACCGTATATAAATTTAATATTTAGTACTTCAGGGTCTTAATACATTTGTAAATAACCCACTCAATTCTTATTTAAGATGTTCTCCTTCGTTTTTCAGGGTCTTGTTTAGAGACTTTAAGTATGGTTTACTGAGTATGATTTGGGTAGGTTTACAGGCTTTAAGTATGATTTGGGTAGGTTTACAGGCTTTAAGTATGGTTTACTGAGTATGATTTGGGTAGGATTAGAGGTTTTAAGTAAGGTTTACTGAGTATGATTTGGGTAGGTTCAGAGACTTTAAGTATGGTTTACTGCTATGATTTGGGTAAGTTTATTTATTAGAGGTATGGTTTAACAGTATGATTTGGAAATTATTTTTGCACACTTTATGGCAGGGTTCAATAAATAACCCACTCAATTCTTGTGTACGATGTTTTGTTAAAATTTAAACAGAAAGGCAAATTATTTTAGCCTTATCAACAGGATTTTGTATCAGAGGTTCGTTATTCAAGAGATAAATAATAGAGTATTTAAATCGGGGTTGGGTGGTTCAATGTGTGTGCGGGAAACCAAAAGGTCTGTCATTGAGTCAAGTGGCATGGTTTCGATTACTCTAGGTCCTCCAGTTTCCTCCTAAGACCTATATGCGCAAGTGAATTATTGAAATAAAATTCAACCAAATCTTAGTCCCGAAATGACCTAGTTTGTGTTGGGTGGACGTGAAACCCCATTTCTCTGTCTTTCAGAACATTTAAAGCCACCGGTAGTCGTTTGAGGGATTTCGAATCCCTTGCGATCTAAAATATGGCGAATGTTGCTTGTTTTCACTAGTTTGGTTGGTGCAGAGAAATGATATAAAATGAAATGAAATGGGGTTTAACCGTTTATTAACGTCCTACTTTTTGGCAAATGACTGGGAAATTTTGTATACACATCGGCGTTTACAGGAACTCACTTTTCCGTCCCTTCCAAACAGCTACACTGTTCCTTGCCTAACCCTTTATCCTGGAAAACAGAAATGGGGATACCACGCTGAACAATTCCAAACTCGGTCAATACCCAGCTTGAACCATGGAGCTTCACGTTTGTGCTTTAGTGAGTCGTTAATCTCCTCAAACAGAGGGGCAGATATATTATTCGGATATCATCCTTTCAAGACTCCAACATGCCGGAATAAATGTTAGCTAAGGCCTTACACAATCGGGAAAAAGAGGAGAGGGAACGGCAACACTCCTGTAAATGAGTGGACAGATTGGTGGATCAAAACATTAAAAAAGATTTTAGTCCCAACAATTATTCATATCAATAGTCTGTAAATATTTTTGACTTATAAACAATCCGTCTTGATGTGCCTTTAAAAGCAGACCATTTTGTCACCGGCTGTACATTAGTTGAAAAGATTTTGGGTAAACAGATTTAGTGCATGTGTGAAAGAATATTAAAATGAAGGTCTTGTAGTACATAACACATATAGACGGATGTTGATATGTGTATATAATTACTTAACTATTATTATGATTTACAAGTAATATTAACACTGTACAACTATCAGGAAATGTAGCTCGCGGAATTGTGTTCTCTAAGTATCAGAAATGAATACAGCTCTTGGAATGGTTCTTCAACACTTTATCATTTCAGGAGTAAATGACTGCAATAATTTATAATTTCCAATAAATCGAACCTCCAACTAGTATACAGGTGCCTAAGCTGGTCTCTCCAACTAATGAATTTTCTCAATTATATAAATTAGTTATTATAAAAGTGTTGACATAAACATACAATTATTGAAGGACTAAGTCTTAAGGCATTTAAAACAATAGTTAAAGAAACTTAACAGATCAACCCATTTAGTTGCCAGCCTGTCATAATTTGACTGACAGGTTAATTGCTGTCTGCCTCTAATGACTAACCAAGCATTAATGAATCTTAAAATGCAGATTTTAAATTAAAAACAGAATTAATAGTAAAATAACATATATATGACCTATACATTGGTCTTAATTTTACACCTTCTGACGTGGCCCCCCCCTTGTCAGTGGTGCAGGAATGAGGGCCTAGCAATGGAGTACACATAGTCATTTGGATGGGATGTAAACATTGGCGTGCATGTAAAAGATCCCCTGGCAGTTGGAATTTTATATAAGAGTAGGTCCTAGTGTTGCTGTTCAGGCAAAATTTCCCTCATAGAACACTATATAGTGCATGCCCTTCTTCATTATGCCCAGTCGGAGCAGAACAGTAGGATGTTAAATCCAATTTCATTTTATTTCATTTTAATATTACACCACTGATATGATATGAAATGAAATGAAATGAAAGAGGGCTTAAAGT